CCTTCTCAGGTAAAGATGGAAGATTATCTTTCAAAATTGCTGTGTTTCGTTCAACTATCTAATATTAAAATATAGTAGACCATTCTTTCCCTGATGTAATTTGTAGTATCTACTTGTGTATAGATCATGAATTACTTTTTATGTCTTATTAGTAACAGAGAAATAGATATGAGAAATAGCATAATCAAACAAACATTTTTTGTAAGCCAGACTGTAAAGCAATACTATACAATATTTTTAATAAAATTTAAGAATGCATACTGGCTCTTCAGACTTTTAAATACTCCATCCATATTGAATTCCCAATGACACAAATAAAAAGTGTGTCTCAAAGTGGTTAACAGACTCCTCTAGTAAACTAAAGACTTCTGAGGTAATCCTAAAAACACTTAAAATACTTTTGAGTTTGGCTGCTACACAACATTATGCAGTATCCCATCACTCACTCTTGGTGTGAAATACAATCGTCAATTGTTATAAAATCATATTTTAAACTGCTATGTTATATTTCTCATTTGTTCCAGGGGCTCTATCAGTGTTCATCGCAGGCTGCTGCCTGGGCTGGCCCTCCCCCGCTGTCCGCAAGTTCCTTGACCATGAAGCAAACTTCAACATCACCCAAAGCCAAGTCTCGTGGATCGTCGCTCTCATGGACTTCGGCAACATCCTCAGTCCCATCCCCTCCGGCTACATGGCAGACAGCTTGGGTCGCAAGTACACCCTGCTCATGACGGCGTTCCTCTACATGGCGACATGGCTGCTGACAATCTTCGGCAACTCCGCTTACTACCTGTTTGCCGCTCGAGTGGGAGCCGGTCTCGGCAAAGGAGTAGCATTCACCGTTGTGCCAATGTACCTAGGGGAGATCGCAGGAGTGCAAGTTCGTGGTGCTATCAGTACAATATTCACAGGACTCCTCTACTCAGGAATACTCTTTGAGTACTGCATCGGACCGTTTCTCTCGTACAACATGTTGAACATAGTGTCGGCAGTGGTACCGATTGTGTTCTTCCTAACATTCTTCATGCTCCCCGACTCACCTTACTTTTTGCTGATGAAAGAGCGTCACAAGGAAGCACGAAGATCGCTCGCTTGGTTCAGAAACTGTGACACGACCGATGAATTTTTAGCAAAAGAGTTGGACGATATGTCAAAAATGGTGCAGAAGGAGATGACAGAGAAAGGAAGATGGTCGGATTTGGTGAGTTCACCGGGTGCTAGGAAAGCTGTAACGATCGTTTTGTTTTTGTCTGCTTTTCAAAGATTTGGTGGCATCTCCCCACTGCTTGCGTATACTGCTGTGACCCTCCCCAAGACTGGGGGAATCATCAACAGAGAGTACTACATGATCATCTTCGGGTTCACGATGGTTGTGGGTAACTTCATCGGAACTCCTCTAATGGACCGCGCAGGACGCAAGCTGCTGCTCATCATCTCATGTTCCTCGTGTGCCGTCCTCACAGGTGTATCGGCCGCCTTCTATTGGTACGCAGCACCTGACAACGACATACCCGACTACAACTGGGTGCCCTACCTCTGCTTCGTCACCTACGGAATAGCTTACGGTATTGGCATCGGCGTCATTCCTTCCACCTTCGTCGGTGAACTGTTCCCCACAAACATTAAAAGCTACGCCTCATCGGTGGCAGCTATATCTTTTGCGGTTGCTTCATTTGCGATCAACAAGTTTTACCTATTGGTCAAGACAGATTTCGGCGTCCACTACATGTATATATTTTTCACAGTTTGTAGTATTTCCTCCGTTATTTTTACTGTAGTCTTTGTATTTGAAACTAAAGGCAAGTCTTTCGCTGAGATCCAGGATAAGCTGAATAAGAGAAAACCTTTGCCGGAACCTCTGATGATGAAGTAATCAATGATTGTAAAATGCCATTTAAGTGCCAAGTAGACTTACAATAGTTTGTATATTTTACTGAAGACTGCAATTATTGAATTGTTTGATTACTATGTATATATGTTCCAACTCCTATATTTTTACATTTAAGTATTTTATAGTATTTCAGGGATTTTTTGTAATGTTAATAGAAATTATAAAAATTAAAAGTTTTATTAACATTTAGATTAAGATTTTATATATTAAACATAAAATTGTAGTTGTTATGACACTAACTCTTTGAATTTTGATAACTGAAATAAAATCTACATAATTTAAAGTAAATTTATTCAGGTATGACAGGTTTAATTCAATGTTAAGATACTTACGTAACCGTTTTGTAAAGGTTGCTATTCAAAGACTGGTATTATTAGAATACGTTTTAATAAATATTTTTAATTCTGTACTCATGATTGATTTCAAAACTTTAGTTCAATTTTAACGCAAAAGTTGTGTTGGATGTGCCTCCACCACAACGGCCTCCTCGCAACCCCCTTCATGTTCTATCCAAGACGACCAAACTAGATAAAAAAGGACGTCTGCTTGGAAAAAGATGCCGTCAGTGCCTGAAAGAAGGACGACGTAAAGAAACAGTGCATATGTGTGGCCAATGTGAAGGGGAGCCTCCGTTGTGTGCGTTAGCTTGCTTTGACAAGCACCATGCAGACTTACAGTAAAATTGAGACTATTGAAGGAGGGTGGAAGGGTTGTATATATTTGTAAATAAATATTTTTAAGTTTTCTTTTGTTATACTTTTAGTGCAAAACATTGATTTTTATTGCTTTCAAAACCAAAAATAATACATAATGACTTATCACCAACATCGTTGCTGGAGCGCGGGAATACCCGCACAAAGTGACGTCACTATTCGTTGCTACTGAGTGTCATCAAGTCGCCAATCTCACACTGGGACATTATATTTCTTCATTATATGTAAAAGGTATGTGTTTACAGCAATAATAGTGTAATTATTTTTGTAATACCTTGCCCAAATGCTGAGCGCGGGAATTCCCGCTCAATATTATGACGTCATAAAAAAAGTTTGTTTGCCATGGAAACCAATTTAGATAATTATATTTAACATTCCTGTGGTGTATTCTATGAAAATAATCACTAAAGTAATTTCAGCACTTGGGTACGTTTATCCATATTTCAGTAGCAGTCAATGTGTTAAGACTATAAAAAATGGTAAACACCTTTTTTGCTATTATTTAGATGACACAATGATGATAAACTACAAATAAAGTTTTCTTCTTGTTCCTACATAGTTTATCTGTGTTTTCGTAATGTTTTAACGAGAGAAAGAATATACGTCAATCATTCTTTAAAAAATAAATACTAACTAAAAAATAAATTCAAATTGCTTGTTTTGTGAATAATTTTCTATCACAGCAGATAAACAGATGTTTTGGCTTTCACTATGAATGAAACCATTGAATTTTGACATTATCAAACTTCTTTTAGCATTTACAACATATGAGACACATATATTATTTAACTTGCTCTGATACATTATTCATATGCATGGCATTGTTTTGGTTCGTTCTCAAGTGACACCGGAGTGTACCTCTAATTTTATTTCAAATATGACACTGTTTCAAAACAAAATAAACCTAGAGACATATCTATATTCAAAAAAGGGTTTGAAAATAATTTTTGCCGTCAAGAAATCTGGGATGGTTATGTTACATTTTTCATCATCAAAAAGGTAGAGAAAAAACTGAAAAAATTGGCTTTTTAGCTATTTTTAAATTTTTTTAATGTGATTATCCATAGAGATGCACAGAGGTATGTAACACGAACAAGAAACCACCTGTTTTCTGATTCATCCTCTTTGTCAATTGGTAGCCCTGCTTATCTGGTCTTCTTATCACACAGATAATCTTTACTTTACTGACCAGCTTAACAGGTGGTTCTTCAACAGAATCTGACTTCTAAGTCAAGAACGATTGAGCAAGTTAGTAGTTTATTATTTTATTGGGTTTTGTCTTATAAATTCAAGACCATTCTCGAGTAAAATATTCATTCACGACTACAATAAAGGGAGTAAACATTTAAAATTTATCAATCAGTAAATTAATAAAAAGTTACGATATTATAAAACATTTTTTTTTTCAACAGTAAAAACTGTTTTGCGCTTGGCTTTTCTAGGAACACTTTTCCTTGAGTTACTTATTAGAGGTAAAAATAAGAAAATAAATACAGTAGAAAACTTGTGATCTTTGTAGTAGGTTAATAGAATAACTTAAATTGAATCAAAATAAAAAAAATTGTTTTGGAATATTTTTTTAGGGTAGAAAATAACACAAAACAAATTAAATATAGACCTTCAGATGTGCTGTGGTTACCATAGGTTGTGGTGCACACCGCTGGGAGCTCCATGTAGTTATGGCATACACGCTACGTAACTACACAGCGCTCCCAGCAGTGTGCGCCAGAACCTATGGTAACCACAGCACGGCTGACAGTCTATATTCAATTCTTTTTGTTTATGGTTGTACACATTTTCTAACAGTGTTTTGAGTTAAAACATTTAATAGTTGGTTTTTAATAAAAATCAATTACAAAAACTTATTTAAGTAATCAAACTATATTTCAATGAGAGTAAATTTAACTACAATGTAAAGGGTAGACACTCTAGTGATACAGTTTATTAATTTTGGCCCATAATTTGTAAAAGGATGATGTTACACTAGTTTCATATTCAATGGTCAGTGGTTAAATTATTTTAGTGTTAAAACATTTGTAAATGGAATTGTTTTGACGCTGTTCATTGTACCATGTACAGATAAGTGAATGATATTTGAAAATTGAATCTTAATTATTTTCTTATTGTCGTATTGTCTAGTCCCTCAAACAGTGATATAGCAAATACCCTACTGATACTAATATGCTAATATGAATTTCACTCATAAAATAGCTAGAAAAATGAATCTTCATCGCTATCATGAATGTTTCACCTAGAATGGATTACGTCGTTCCTTATGACGTAACAGATGAACTTCTAAGGTAGGGATTTCCAACCGTTTATTACTCATTACACTAATCATATATCACAGAGATTACAGCTGAGCCGAAGCTGTTTAAACTCTTCTCTGCACGGAGATGAGGTCCCACACGGTCGGGGTGCTTCGGCAATACGCAGCCGCCATCTCAGGTTTGTGAGATTTTACTTTGTTAAACGTTTTGCTAGTATTTTTTAATGTGAATATTCGTAATATTTTAACCAAATGAGCCAAATATTGGGTGATTAGTGAAAACGCTAGGAAATTAAAATGTCACATAAAAGTCGGGTATACTAAACATAGCGTATTTTATTTTACATATTCTTTATAGCAAGTTTTAGTGATTTTTACGGAGAAAATTAGTGAGCTGTTGGTAAAATCCGCACAGAGAGACTTTAAAGAGTTCATGATAAATCATTTCTCATTAGTTTGAAAAAAAAAACCCTTAGTAGCTATAAAAAATAATTTAAAGAGAAATACTTTTATATTCCCATTAGTGTAGCATTTATACATTTTAAGAACAAAAATAAATGTATTTGTGATGTATATTTTATTGTCTTATCAAAATGAATTACAGACAATGATTTTTATCATGGAGTAGAAAGGCTTTTGTACAATTTGGTATGAACATCAATCAAGCATAAATAAATAATTATAAAATTAGATGGTATCCCGTACAAACTTGTTTGTTTTAATTAGTTTTAACATAAAAAATTATAGTAGCCATTGAACAAGATGAAATCAAATTTATTTTCATCAGACACTAATGGTTGAATGACAGTGTTAGGCTTTACAACTGGCTGATGATAACAGCACACTGGTTGTCACATAGAAAAAGTAAAAGTTCATTATATTCTTATAATTCATTGATGAACCACATTAATACCTGCACAAATTGTTTAACAAATCTAGTTTGTTTAAGAATTAATTAATTTTTTTTATTTTTTTTAGTAAGTAATATAAAAACCTTATTATTTGAAAAAATCACAAAAAATCTTACAACATTTTATGAACAAAAGCTTGCTGCAAAAGCCAGGAAAATTTGGCTTGTCTGCAGCTCATAGAGATAACTTGATCTAGATAACAATGTACTTTGTCGTCCCTTGGTCAGTCCTCCATATTACACTCTGGTTTTCCTTGTTTCTTGTCAAGATCTGCTATTATATTGTTGTTTTGACTTATTCTCTACCTTTCTTTTCAGACAGTCTTCCTAATAATTCCTCCACTCCAATCATTTTCTTCTATCCAAACCATACATTTATTCAACTGTTACAGCTGCTATCCCCGTGTTCATCGTGGGAAGCTGGATCTCATGGCCTTCTTCCGCGGTCAAGTCCATCCTCAGCGGCGAGACCAACCTGGACATCACCCCAGAGGAACTCTCATGGGTCGTATCTCTACTTGACTTGGGAAACGCTCTCAGCCCAATACCTTCTAGCTTCGTGTCCAACTGGCTCGGCCGCAAACCCACTCTCGTCGCATTATCCGTTTCCTTCTTGGGGGCATCTCTGTTGGTGGTCTTTGCAACAAATGTATACTACTTGTACATTGCTCGCCTCATCATCGGCATCGGTAAGGGTCTCGCCTTCACAGTCGTGCCCATATACCTTGGGGAAACAGCCGGTACAAAGGTGAGAGGCAGTGTCGGAACACTCTTCCTAGGCTTGATGAACTACGGAATTCTCTTTGAACTGTGCATCGGTCCACTAGTTTCCTATGAAACGCTCAACTTGCTTTCAATCCCTTTTCCCATCATATTCTTCCTCCTTTTCTTCCAAGTCCCAGAATCACCGTACTACATGCTGATGAAAGGACGAGTGAAGGATGCACAAAAGTCACTCTCTTGGTTTAGAAGTCTTGAGGAGGATTCTGCGGAATTGCAACAAGAACTCAAACAGATCGCTACAAACGTGGAACAAGACATGAAACAGAGAGGCAGTTATTTGGAACTGATCAACACTCCGAGTGCAAGAAGAGCAACACTGATCATCATGGGGCTATCCTCTCTACAAAGGTTTACAGGTGCTACATGCATCACAGCGTATTCCACCACCACTCTACCCCCGACTGGAGGCTACTTCAGCCCCTCGGTATACATGGTGTTCTTCGGAATCACCATGATCTTAGGACAGGTGATTTGTAGCACTCTGGTGGACATCTTTGGTCGCAAACCTCTCCTGATCATGTCAGGGTTCGGGTGTGCCGTATCTACAGCCGCAAGTGCTTTGTTTTACTGGCTCGATGAGTCTTGTGACATATCGGCCTTCAACTGGGTGCCTTATCTGGGTGTCGTTATATACGGTGTTAGCTTCTCTACCGGACTGGGAACCATTCCTCCCATCATATGTGCTGAACTTTACCCAGCAAATGTGAGAAGTTATGCAGCAGCTGTTGCTGCGATATTTTACGCCATTTCATCGTTTATCATAAACAAAATCTATCTCCAAATCAAATTGTCTTTTGGAATTTACTTCATGTATTTATTTTTCAGTCTGTGTTCAATTTTGTGTGTAGTTTTCACGTCCTCTTTCATTTTTGAAACCAGCGGTTTGACGTTTCTTGAAATCCAAACCACGCTTAAAAAGAAAAGTACGTACAAAAGTACTGATATAGTAAAAAATGGTTCTTCCTCGTAGATTAGATTACTTATTTTTATTCAGGAATAAGAAATACATGTAAATAGTGTATATTTATTGTAAAGTATTGTTTACTTAAAAATTTTAAGAAATAATATTATTTGTTGTAAAATAGAAATTTTTCTGGCAACACCCCAATACTAAGCAGTATTACATACATCCAAAATCTATCTATCTATCCAAAATCTAGTATATAGTATTGTACATCCAACAAATACCTATTTTTGTAACATATATTTTGTGTTCAATAACTAGTTGAACTTATTTTCTGTTAAGAGCAAATTACATAATCAAAGATATATAATTAATGCTTAATTACATGGAATAATTAATTATTGTTAATACTTTAAAATGTTTATATTTTAAAAATAAAAAGTAGTTGTTAATTTACAAACAAATTGAAGTTCACCATTAAATTGCGGTTTTCAAGTTCTAGTATGTGTCAGTTTATTCTTATCATTCTCTTTTTACCTTATCTCAATTTAGAAATGCCTTCTACTCTAGCAAACAGTTATCTTGAATACAACATATGTTACTAGCATGTGCTACTGTTCTGAGTTAAATTAGTTGTGGATTTAGAATGCATATTAGGTATGTTTAAACACATTCTATAAATATAAAATACCTTTAAGCAGAAAATTACTTACTTTTGGTTAAATTAGCACAAACAAGAATATGTTGCAGGCTATATAGTCTGTAAATAAGTTCATTACATATTATCAAATTATAAAACCCTACTTGTATTTACGTCAGTTTGAAAAATGCACAAAAGTACATAAATGAGACACTTTGAACAACTCAGTAAATATCCAAGTCCATTGGTAATACTAACAGTTTTTAGTAGCAACAATCAACTCTTTGTGTTAGAATCATTATTATAAGTCGAATATAAGTCACAGATATAAAACTCACTTTATTTAATAAATTCAATGTAAAAGTTTAAAATTATTTTTGATGATTTTTCGTCTATGTTGTTATGGTTGAAGCGGTGGTATTACTGCTAGTTTTATCAAGAAAAATGTTACTATTTCATTATTTTAAGTCATCAGACATAATGATGCTGCAAATGTGTGCAACGCCGAGGTAGGTGTGCTGACAATGTGTTAAGACAACAGTACTTTGCTTATCAACTCCACGAGCACCAAAGGTACATTTACCACCAGCGGGGCAATCTGGCTAAATGACTCGATTAATCAACTACACCCTAATCAACCCCAACATTCCACGACAATGGAACATATCATTTGGATTTCTAATGATTCATTATGTGATCAGATTTTGTCATTTATTAGTTAGTTCACCTACCTTATTTGTATTTTTCATTAACTACTAATTTAATTCAGAAACTTTGACGTTTTCACTTAGAACAAGTGAGTTAAGACTTGAATTTTTTAATTGAAATTTTTATAAACCGAGTGACATTTTTAAACATTTTGCACAGAGAAGTTTGAAATAAATAAATTATGCATTTAGAAATCATAATTTTTTTTATTAATATATTTTAGAAAACATTGTTGACAAATCTTAACTTTCTGTAGCTACTACAAAAAGATTCAATAATCTATATATTAATTAAATAAATTACACAGCATTATACACAGATTTTAAGATGCAAACAAGCACAGGATTATTGAACAATTAAATTAAATGATTTTGTAGCTTTGTTGCTAACTAAGATCAGCTCTTTTTGTTCAGGGCCATTCATTGAAACCCAAATATTATCAAGGACAAGCCTTAAAAAAGCCACTGACTTTTCTCGTAATTAAACCTATCTTCTGATAAAGGTGAGCACTAGCACACCACACAGGTCTACTCAGCTTACATTGTCAAATAGGGAAACATTAGGAAATTCATGTAAATATATCCTAAAGCCTTTCACAACTAACTGTCTTTACATGACTGATAACGCCAGTCAAGGTCAATTAGGAAAGGTTAGTGATTCCTCAGTCTGGAGATTGAGTGAGTTATGGTCAGTCTCTCAGTGAGCTTCTTGTGACTAAAGTTGTTATGTTTTGAATAAATTAAATCATAACGACCAATGAGAGTACCTATAGTGCAGGATATTTAGACAGATAGAAATATCAGAAACTTGTGTACATTAGTGTAAATACCAAAGAAGTTATGGAAGTGACAAAGTAAGTAGTTGTATTAAATTTAAACATTGGAACTACTGATTCTCAATCAACTTATGTGAATGGGAAAAGTATCAAATTTTACAAAATCTGCATCTTTAACTTAAGCCATAACTTAAGAGGAAATATTCCGTTAAATTTCAAATTTGCTAGGACAAAACTATCAGCTCTAATATTATAAATTATGACATTTAAAAAAATCTGAGTTTACTAAAACCTTATATACGGTAGAAACTTTAGTGACAGTTTGTCTAAAAAATCAAAACAAATAAAAAAATTGCAAAGAATTTTAACAAAAGTGTATGGATTCAAGAGAATTTAGTTTTGCATTATCCTTAATTTATTTAAGTGATAAATATTTGGGATTATAAATTTGGATGGGAAACAAATTTACCTTGGCATTTTTGTAAATCCTATTTTTGATCAAATATATTATCAAACATTGAAACTATGTTCATTTTAACTATGGTACCTAATATTATTTTATTCAATTACATTTTGTAGAATCAATAACATTGAGACTGACTTAAGTTATGAAATGCTTTAGTCTCGGTCAAAGGGCACCATGTTTTTTTTTTCATAATATCAATTGCAGTATCCTAAATAATGAACTATGTATAAAATACATACAATAAGACATACTAATTGTAACAGGGCTATTGTAGGACATTGACGAACAGGCACGAGTATTGAGGGAATTAAATTACGACGAGGTTTTAACTAATTGAAGTCATCAGTAAACACCTGATATGAATGCTGACTAAGTGATTATCTAACTCCCAACACGAGGTAGCCGAGAGTCTGACGGACCATGACGACGTCTACGCCTGTAACCGGAGTGGTGCGACAATATGCGGCAGCCATGGCAGGTCAGTACATTCAGGCCATTGAACCTTAACCATGTAAAATAACCATGTAACCATATAATGTTATGTATGCAGTATTACTGTATAAACATCATTACAAAATTAATACAGGGAGTAACTAGGAGCATAACAAGTTAACCAAAGTATTAATGAACTATGAGTGTAGAATGGAGTGAAGTGAGTTGTGTAGCTTTATTGCTGAGATCAGCTGTTTTTTGTCCAGGACTTTTTTTTATCAAAAGCTTAATGATCAGCTGATCTGTTCTTAAATGTTGTTTAATTTAGGTCTCATAGATCAGTGATGTTAAACTCAGAGAAATCATTTTTTTATTTTTTTTTTTATTTCAAAGAATTTCTTGTGCTAAAACAATACTTAAGTAGTTAAATCAAATTATTAAGTTTAATTATTTCACCTAGTGTTCATTTTATCTTAAAAAGTTTTAAATGAGATTTCTACAACAATGTTTACCATTAAACAATGAACTATTTAAATGTATCAGTTTTATCCTACTTTATATAATTGGATCTGTTTGTCTTACAAACAAAAATTATCTCTTTCGGCCTTTGCCCTGTTTTGTGATATCCTCTTTGTACAAGCTACATACCGGAAAAATTTTGATAACCTGGAGACTGGTTTTTTTTAGATAAACGTTAACTAAACACCAGGAAGTGTTCTGGTTTTCAATTGTCTTACAAGGAACAATGTTCAAAATTGCGATTACTAAAAAAAAATAATTTGCAGGAGCAAATTTGGTAGCATACAGCTTATTTTTCATACAATAAAGTATTTTTCTTGTTTTCCTAATTGAAAAGTGAATAATATAATAGAGTTCAGTAATAATAAAACATTATTAAATGATTCTTCATCCTGTAGCATTATTAATATTTATGAAATAATAGCTCGGTAGTTCTTGAGGTTTTCCTTCTGTTAAGTCTTCAGTTGAAACTGTGTCCTTCGTAAACATAAAAGTAAATTACCACTAATGACAAAAATAATGATTAAATTCCTCAATGTAAAGCTAATCATTCATTGGCTGTTTCAGCTGGACTGTCGATGTTCATCCTGGGAAACTGGGTGTCCTGGCCTTCCCCAGCTGTGAAGCATATCCTGGCCGGAGACACCAAGCTGGACATCTCTCCTGTCCAAGTATCCTGGGCAGTGGCTCTCCTGGACCTGGGCAACATCATCAGTCCCATACCTTCCAGCTACGTCACCAACTACCTGGGACGCAAGGTCACCCTCATCATCTTGTCCTTCGTGTTCTTCCTCACCTGGCTGCTAGCCATCTTCGGCACCACCGCCTACTACCTCTACACAGCCCGCTTCCTTGTGGGTCTCAGCAAGGGGTTGACCTACATCGTGGTTCCCATCTACCTCGGTGAAATCGCCAGCACCCAAGTAAGAGGAGGCGTCGGAACCATCTTCGGTGGAATGATGGCGTACGGAATGCTCTTTGAGCTCTTAATCGGCTCGTTTGTCGATTACGACACGCTCAACATAATCTCATCTCCGTTTCCAGTGTTGTTCTTCCTCTTCTTCTTCAGATTTCCGGAGACTCCCTACTTTTTGCTGATGAAAGGGCGAGAAGACGAGGCAAAAAAATCCTTAGCGTATTTCCGTAGTTCAAAAGAGGACTCGACAATACTGCAACAAGAGCTTAAACAAATTTCAAAAAATGTTTCGGAAGACTCAAAGAAGACCGGAGGTTACATGGATTTGGTGAGTTCTCCGAGCGCCAGAAGAGCCACCCTGATTTCAGTAGGACTTGCGACAATTCAACGGCTGAGTGGGTGCACCAGCATCATCGCGTACTCCACAGTCACCTTGCCCCCCACTGGAGGATACTTTAGTCCTGACGTTTACATGATTATATTTGCGGTTGTCATGATCATCGGACTAACTATCTGCACCACTCTGATAGACATGTTCGGACGTAAGCCTCTGCTGATCATCTCCAGCGTAGGCTGTATGATAGGCACTGGAGTCACCGCTGTGTTCTACTGGATGTCCACATTCACTGATGTCTCAGCATACAACTGGGTGCCGTACTTCGGCATTATCTTCTACAGTATCATGTTATCAGTTGGATTAGGCAACATCCCGCCTGTCATCACAGTCGAGCTCTTCCCCGCCAACTTAAGAAGCCATGCTAATGCGCTCACTGCAGTTTTTTACGCACTTTCCTCTTTTATCACAAACAAAATGTACCTCCAAGTAAAAATGTCAATCGGTGTTCACTACATGTACTTGTTTTTCATGATTTGCTCATTCATCGGTGTTATTTTCACAAGCTTTGTCGTGTTTGAAACTAAAGGAATGACTTTCTCGGAGATTCAAGATACGCTCAAGAAGAAAACACGTTGTGAAAGTGAAAACATTCCGGTTGCAGCGAATATGCAAACTCTGAAAACATCTTATGGTATTTAAATTACTTTACATTTTAAGAAAACTTTAATATTTAGGGAAACGTGGAATCTTTAAAGGCATCTTGTAAGATATTTACCAAAGACTAAAGTGATACAAAAACATAACTAATAAAATTAAGCTTACAAAAAATACACCAAACGGTATTGTTATTAAGCATGGTTAAGAGATGAGTAGTTCCAAACATTAAAAAAAAATTTTTATGATAAATATTTTATTTTTTTTAACTATTTGTACATTAAATTTTAACCTTAAACAAATATATCAAATATATTTTAAGATCTTGTGTCAAGGCAATCTAAGTAATAGTGATTATTTCAAAAATATTTTACAATAAACTACTCAAAAGTGTTTGTATGTGGCTATGCATCAAAATAAATATTCAAGCACAGCTTTACAAATTAACTGTTGTAAAATAATACGATCTTATTCTTAGTTAGTAATAATTTATTTTGGTCGCTAAAAGAAGTCTAAGAGGTAATCTTAGATATCTGAACATTTTTGCAATAACTAACATTAAGTAAACTAACTATCCCCACTTGGAGAAAAGTTTTAACCATATTACTTTGATACTTAATTAGAAAAGTTAAATTCATAAGAAACATTTTGAAAAAGTTATAATTTTATTTGAGATAGGTACAATGAGTGGTGTTTTGTAAGCGGTATGTTTTAGAGAATAAATTTATGTCCACCCAACTTGCGAGGACAACTTTTTGCTGCCCTGTGTTTAGCCACCATCTGCTATCCCAACCAAAACTGAATTTCATCATGAAGGCTTTGTTCTAAATGATAAACAATTAGTTGCTAAACAATACTCAGCTCTCAAATGTTTGTTTCTACGTTTGAAAGCAACTCTTACCAAATGTAATATTACTAATATTAACAGTAAATAGTTTATTTTGCAGAATTAAACATATTTTTTCCTATCTTCAATAAAAGTGCATTGATAAACAAAATAAATTTATTTTTTAAAGTAACAACTGGATGGAAAATAATACAAGAATTTAGGTAATTTGAGCAGGTTTCCTTCGACTATATAGTTCTGAAGACATTCTGTAATTATTTTTCTTTGTCTATGCTATTGGCATGTTTTTGTTTTGTTTTTTTTATATCTTTTTCGAGGTACATCTATAGGAATTCACTAGCAACTAATGGCTAGCAATGTATAGTGTCTTTTGCCTTATCATAGTCTCGCAGCCGCAGCCTTCCTGGCAAGGCTTAACATAATTACCAGTCACCACAACTACAATAACTCCCAACTAATGGACTTGTACTCTGCTTAACATCCGCAGTTATCGGCTTTGCTGTTTATAATCAGTAAAAATTTATTTAAGTTGGTTAGTTACCGTATTCAATTTTCAATCGAAAAAAATTAATTTTTAATTTTCACAAAATTAAAAAAACATTACCTGGAACTTTTTATTGAGTTGGCTTTTGATATCAGGAAAAGTAAATAACTCTTCGAATAAATGATTTGCACGTAGATGCAAAATAAAATTTACGTAAAAATGGTTGACCACACTAATAACACTTATTGTGTTGGATTTTATAAATGAATAAGTGATTTAATGGAGCGGTTCATAGTGAAAAACGGCATTTCACTCCTTTTTTTCACTAAATTCTACAAGTGCGCAAAAAAGTCTAGATATTTTCCAGTTGTTTTACTTCAGACCCCTAGCATACAATGCTCTTCCTTAAAACGCTAAAACATTATCTTGAAAAGAAATTTAATGTCAGATTAAAGTTTTTGGTTTGAAGTACATTATTGAACATGTAAAGTTTAATTGAATTTTTATTGCATTTCTGATTCTGTTAGAAGCTGTTTTGTAAAAAAAGCATTCTAAAATAAAATTTTGAAATTTTTTAGCTTACTTTTTTAGAGCAACTAAATAACTTGGTACATTCTTTTATTAAACATTTAGTGGCTATAAACTTTGATAAAAAGTTTAAAATATATTATTATGGATGTGTCATAGTAATTTTTTTTTATAATTTAGCAAATTTAGTGTTGAATATTAAAAAACAATTAATTCATCCATCCCTGAAATACTTTTGAGGCAACTTTACAAAACAACATTTTCTGATGTCATTACACTTTTCTAATCAACCTTGGAAGCAAAAACAATCTTCTCGCACATTTCCGACGAATCTTTCACCGACGAGTGAAGCAGGGGAAACACGGCCGCTAAGTACACTAAGCCGGGGCTAAGAGAGTTTGATTAAAAACAGAACAATGTCTCACCACGGGTGCTGATGAGAGAGAGTTTCCCTCAGTTACGAGTTACGAGTCGGCAGTGAAGTGGGGAGCACAATTACAACACAGTCCCCAGCAGGAGGTGGCAAACTACGTTTACAGCCTTCTTGATCACAACTCCCAACATATGGCTTAACTGACTGTGTCAAACGAATATGATGTTATACCCCAATGGTGCATTAACTGTGAATTTTACAATATCGCTGCATCACTATTATAAGATGGTCAAGCAAAAAAGCCAAATAAAGAATATTTTATGTTGTTAAAAAGTGGCATTTTGCTTACTAGAGTTAGTTTTTAAAACAGCTAATTTCTCAACATGTTACTTTGCTGACGTTTCTAGCAATTTTGTGTTAATTTAATAATACAAAAAACAGGAAACGAGCAGTATATAGATTAGATGAATTCTTACATGTTAAATGTTATGAAAACATAAAATCACAGTTTTTGTACAAAAAAAAAACAAAGTAATTATGAATTTATGAAGATGATTAACAGTTTGTAAAAGAGTATTTTTTGTTTGGCAAACTTTGAAGTGTGGTACGCCTGGACATTGTTTATCTCAATGCAGATCAGCCTCAAGAATCTTAGTCTCAATGTGGTAAATACATTTGATGAGTACATAATTTTATGTAGTTAACAAAAACCAAAAACTGCGGTCAAAATATAATGTCTCACTCGTGTTCAAAGTGGTTTTTTTTTTACTGAGTAAAATTTTACTCTCTTTTACAATCGCCACTTTGCTCACTAGTTGTTCAAATAACTGGGGATATTTTGGTGACTACAAAACTGGTAAGCAAGTAAACAAATTTTACCTCATGCTCTTCTTATGATGCATAAACAAGTGTAAATTGTACAAGAGTAAAACAAAAAGAGAACCTCACAAAAGAGCCTGCACAATGGCTTGGAATGTGCCTTTTTCCTTCAAAATGGTGTGAACACAACCGTTAACAAAACCATAAGACATCATTATTTAGTGATAGATATGCAGCTAAGGTGTATTAAAAAAATTTATGAAAAATAAGTGCAGATTCTTGCTATACAATTGTATTATTACTTGAAAAAATAGGTGTCTGTGGGTCATCATTGTTACTCGCAAGAATGGATAGGACTAATGAACCAGAATTTAACACAAAGATGTACCGATGAGTGCTGATTTGATATTATAACTAAAAGTTTTGTCAAAAAGGTTTCTTGGGTTATTTTCTAAGAAAATTTGGAGTTAGAGCAAAGTTTTACCTTGTGACCGATTAAATTTATACTGTGTGAGTCTACAGGTTTGCTGAAATGCGGGTTTGATTACCGATTTAACAAAATGATGACTAGGTATTCAAATACTATTTTTATTTAATCACTCAGAAGTACCAATAGTATCTCAAGGGTTAATGTAATGTTAAAGCAGTTAATTAATAATTTATTTATCTTTGCGGCTAGTTTAACTTAGCTGAAAGTATTTTGTAGTTAATTAATTAGGTTCAGACAAATTAACCTCTATTTTAATCATTATAATTAATTAAATAAGATTACCGGTATAAAAACAAGTTTGATATGTGCTTTTTAAAATACTTGAGTGGTGATGCTTAAATAGAGGGTTTAATTAGTTCAATTATAAATTAAATCAGTGACAAGTTTATTTTTCTAAGTGAGAAATCTGTAAACATTCATCCCATATTATGTGATTGTGATTAGTTATACAACTTTTTTAATAAAAAAAAATATATGTCATTATTTAAAGTAAATTAATCTCATAGAAAATTTTAAAATATAGCATTTTAATTTATGTTACAAACACTAGAAGTTTATAATTGTTTACAGAAACGATTATCTATATCATGTTTAAAGCACCTTGCCGCTGTCAGATATTGAATTGTTTTACACATGACTGCTACATAGACAGGTAAATTATTTATTTTTTTAATGCGATGACGCAAATATATTAACTACCCATCTTATGGAGGATCAATCAAAGGATCAGTAAGACGAGTTAGTAAACCTACATTAGTCGTCTTAAGATAAACCCCTTACTTTGTTGGACTGGACACATTTTGGAGGAAGAAAACAATCTCAGTTTTGTATCCAATTGATCTCCTAACAGGTTTATTTTCATTGAGAGCAGAACTCAAGGTTAACTCAATCGTATTGAGAAATGGTGCGGAAGGCAGGTGATTGGCTGGAAGACCAAAAGCAAATGGTGGAACCAAGTCCGGAGGTATAGGAACTTGGAGCTTAGTGAGGAGAATGCTACACAGACCATAACTACAAGAGAGGCTGTGTTTATATGAGGCCACCGAATAAGGTAGGGGAGGCAACTCGGTAAGTAAGTTCCACCATTGTATATCAACCAGATCACTCGCGTCAGCATCAACTAACCCATGAGTAAATGCAGGTTATGAAAGACTTCCTACCTTTAGTAGCAGCAGGAGAGGCCTTTGCAGGCGTGGTGAGAGTTTTGATGGCCTCAGCAGCTGCTGCAGCGGTCGTAGAAGGCTTTGCTGACTCTGGCTGTTCCTCGGCTTCTCCTCGGTTTTTAAGCACATTCCAGTCCTGCAGCAACCTAGTGACTTTGTTCTGCAAACAACAAACAGTCGAGAGTTGTAAAATCATCATTTATCCTTGGTCTTTTTTATGTAAAATTTATTGTTACATTTTATCCTAAATTTTATGTGCTTTTAGTGGAAGAAGCTTTGTATTCATCATTACAAAGAAAATTCTAAATACACCCTTTGTTATTTATTCATTTTAGTATACTCCAAAATTGCTGAATTACAAAGTAATCAAGGTATGTATCAAGGTTACATAGCTTAAATTCAAGCAATTCCTTTTCTGGTACAATGACTATGTATACATTTTGGTCGGCAGGTTAAAATCTCATAATCAGATCTTCAAAACCCTTACCATTTTTGTTTTCTATGTGTTCTGAAAAACCACTTTGACACACTATTATCACAAAACTAAGTGTTTATTTGCAGACAGACTCACACTCTAACCGCAAAACCAGCCACCCACACTCTTCACATAACCACACTCACAGGTATATCTTGGACTGGGAATTTTACAGCTGTGTAGGAATTGAACACTAGGTTTAATCTGCATAAGTAGAAAACTTAAATCTAAAGATTGTGTAGAGTTTATATAAGTACTTACATGCAAATCCGAGGACATCGGTTGCTTGACTGCTTGGCACTCCTTTTCAAGATTGGTAAAGTTCTCTTTTAGATCCTTTACTTCAATTTCCCGGTCATAGACCATGGTCTGAAAATAAAATTGCGGTAAGTAATGGAAATACAACCTAAGAGCAATTTATGTAAATATGGAATAGTTTTATGATTAAACATGAGTAGTTTAAGCAATATGAAACAAAACTGAACCACTTATATAACCACAAAAGTGTTTTTAATGATAAATACATTACATTTGTACATGTTTTAGGGGTTTTATATACAATAAAAATGTTTTACAGAGTGTATTCTTAAGTATAGTGTAAAACTTCAAAACTTAATTATTGAAAATGTACACCTGTAGAGTTGTTAGTAAAAAAGTATAACAGTGCACCAATTATCACACTGTTACAATAATTTGGGCCAAGATAAACCATGTTTCCCAGCATTCTTATCAAAATTATTCCTTTTATAAATTTACTATGATCTTGATATTTTGTTACTGACAGCAACAGTTTTTAATTAAAAACTCTAAAATATGATCCACAACAAAAAAAAGTATATACTCCATAACGTTGCCTATATTATTCTGTTTAACGACAGTAAAGTGTTATTAACATGAAGCTGTTTCTCACCATAATGTTGTCCACTATCCTGATCTTCTCCGTGGCCGGCAGTTCCTTGCTGATGTTGATACGAGTCAGAGTCTCATTTACCCAAGACGTCACATGTTCCAGTTGAGTCTTTAACTTCTTCAGTGAAGCGAGTTTGGCAGTGATTTGGTCTCTGTGCTCAGTCAGGGACGTCAACACCTGAAAATACAGTTTGCATTGTTATCATGCATTGTATAATATATGATGTATATATTCTAGATCTCAAAATATCAATGAAATCAAATCCCTCACTAGTTTTATGGCTGAATAAGGGCTACAAGTTTCCCTAATTTACGTTTTTTATCTTTCTGTAAGTGGCACATGTATACTTCATCAGAGAATGGTTTAGACCCTGATGTTGTTACATTTACATCCAATGTCTACCAGAAGTTATGCACCATATTCATTTCATAGCAGAAATATAATAGGTGGTAATGTTGTCAAAAATAATATCTGTCAACAAAAACATTGAACAATGTAACCAACATTTTCTTATATACAAGTCTTCTAAATGTGTTTGTTGTTGTATGTCTCAGGATATAATTACAATGTCATCTATACGATTTATCAAGAAAGCAACCCCCTACCTCTAAAAAATACCTCTACCTGTATTGTAATAATGAAAGTAATAATAATTGGTTTATTGTAGTCGACAAAAATACATTGTATAACAACGTCAAACACATACAAACATTAGGCGTAAGTAAAACCGATCTATGTTATCATTTACATGTTGTCATAATAAAATTATTTTTATAAAATAAAACATAGTTTTTTTTTCAACCTCACACTATACTGACCTTTTTAGCTTCAGACACTACTTTTGTTGCTATTTCATCTTCACTTTTGGTATTTGTTAAATCTTGTAATTTACCGACAAATTCTTCTTCTTTTGTCTGAAAATTAAATCACAAATAGAAAGTAATTAACACACAAAACAGCAACTTTGGCCTTTCAACATAAAACAATACACAATTCAACTGTTTAAAATCAAAGATTTTCAAAATATGAGTTTACAATTCATCACAAAAAATATTAAATTTAGGATATTTGTATATAGAATTGTAAAAATATTAAATCAGGTATAAGCAATAAACTGTTGATGTAAAGGAAGACAATGGAATGTGGGCCAGGAAGGGGGAATGCCTTGCCTATTTGTGTCATCTTGGGCTATTTTGGAAGAGCAATGTCTCGAATCCTACGTTTATTCTGAATCTGCCGCATTGATATTAAACAATTAACAACATTTTATGAACATAAATTGATTATTTAACTATAGTAAGATACTACTAGTCCACGATGTAATATTTATGATATTTGGTTAGGTAAAAAGACATAGTGAAATGTTCAACATTCAACAAATTTTAAATAAATGATACAGTCCTATTGTTTAAGAGTCGAGTCCAAATTAAAAATTCTTTGTATTTTAAATATTTAAAATTTCTTCTCTTCTTCCTATCAAAAATGATTAATTTAAGGTAGTGTCAGTTTATTTTTAACCTTTCCACCACAAGTTTACATCGTCTTCCTGTAGTATCCATAAACAAGCCTGTTCATCACATATTTCACTTGGTTATTACAAACAAATATTTTTAGCTCACCACAAACACATATAAAACTGCACCTTATTTATGTGAGGCCAAACATTCGGCTGCTTTAAATAGCATACTAAATTTAGATTACAAGTGAATCGAGGTTTATAACGTAAACTGATCATTTATTTCGTTTCTAGGCAAAATTTAGTAACTGCATACATTTTCAGCAGATTTTTGGAAAACAATACCTCATAGTTTTGCTTTATAAAATATGACATTCTAATTTTTTCTAACTTTAATGTTTGAAAAAATTATTTATATTTTACAAACGATAAACCCTTATTCAGGGATTAAATGCCATTTTGAACAGGCTTGCAGGTTTTACCAAAGCACAATAATTCAACTTCATTCCAGACAACTTATTTTTAATAAAATTTTCTTAAATTTTAACTTGAATATATAGTTATGCCCACATTCAATTAAACTTCACCATGCAGTTTGAACCATCCTTATATGAGTTTTATCTTTAATAACGTAATGAGAACAATGTGTGCCCAAAATGATATTTTGGCCGGATGGTCTTGGCTTGTAGCTGTTTCTCCGCATGTTTACAGTACAATGTGAGTTTGGCAAAACTTCAATAAACCATTGTCACATTTCCTCCCACGGACAGAGTGAGATCTTCTGTTCTCTGATAACCTTTATGCTTTATTTAATTTTAAGCTTCCACTAAGCCCCATATATTTCTTTGTGAACCCACTTTGATGTTTTTGACGTCTTCATTTGTAATATGTTCTAACGAGTAACCTCTGCACATATCTCTTGTTATAATTTTCACAAACCCTTAAAATTGTTAATAAACTTATTTTTTTCCGTTATCACCTGTTTTATGTACTGAAAACCCCCATACTTTGGTACAATGACATGTAAATTATACCAGTGACAGTTATTATTGCAAATTAATGTCTAGCCACATTAGCTGCATTGCCAAATTACATTACAATGAATCAATTTGGCAAACAGAATGAAACTAAGGGGAATCATTTCCAGGATAGACATTGGAAATTGACATCAGTATAATTGATAAATAACTTCTTGATCAGCATTGTATGTGATTTTAAATTTATGGAAAGTAAATAAAAGATAAGTCTTATAACATTTAAAACAAATATTTACGCCTATTGGGTCTGATGATGTTTGGAGTGTCCAATCGAAATCAAACACCACTTACCATCTTTTTTGTATATTTACCGTCTTGTGAGTAACAGTATAAGCGTAAATATATGTTTTAAGTATTATAAGACGTATTTTTTATTTACTTTCTATAATTGATACAACTGGACTATTAAACTGGCATTGTTGATTCTAATGAAAGTGAAATTATTTGGTGACCTCAGGGGTGGCTCCAGGGATAATTCTTTGGGTAGGCCTGACAAGGATCAAGAAGGAGTTTGTTCGGGGGACGAGAGGTTTGTGGGGCTTCCCCGCAAAAGGGGATAATTATAAATTTTATTTGCAAAATAATGAGTTTGAATGCTTTCCATTTATTTACATTTAATTACATTTCTTTATAATTTTGAAATATCTACTAAAATTTTGGGTAGGCCCGGGCCTACCTGGCCTGCCCTCTGGAGCCGCCTCTGGGTGACCTTTATATCTTTACTTATGGTTAGCCATAGTACCTATTTATTTTAAAGCGAGATAAACTGGCACTAGAGCATATGTTTTGCTGGTAACAATAAATATTTGTAGGCATGTAATGATAATAGTAAAATACTACCTGGACAGCCTAAGAAAAGGTGGAAATGAGTGCATTAGGATAAGATCAAAATGAGAGTTACTGAGGAAGATAGTGAGGAACCGAACTCGTGGAACAGATTTTTGACGAGGCCAAATACCACTTAGTTATAAATGGCCATGGAAGTAAGTAAGTAACTACAAGTATGACTACTATAAATTTTATACTTAATTACAGTAGTAAATTAATGGAGAGACATTGTTGGCGAGGCCAAAAACCTTCTTAGGTTTCAGTGGGCAAGGAGGTAAGGTAGGGTACAGTACTTAATCTGTTTTTGTTTTTTTGTGTCTGTTAACCCTTAGAGTGCCAGGCGAGAAATAAAAGTAACGCTCAAAAAATGCCGATGATTTTTCCCGAAGGTCGCGCTAAAAATGCCGAGCGCGATCTGGCGATTTTTAGGTTAAAATTTCGTAAAAATTGAATTTTCGATATTTCGACCAACGAAAATCGATGTATCGCATCTAGTAACTTTCGACTCAATGTTAATATATGGGTTAAAAGAATCCGAGTATCCATTCGGTTGTTATGACAACTGTTCGATCATTACGAGACGTCCGGTCAGCCGGACGTTGGCACTTTTGGCTCGTTCTAAAAACGTCCGGTCGGCCGGACGTCGGCACTTTTGGCTCGTTTTAAAAACGTCCGGTTCCCCGGACGTTGGCACTCAAAGGGTTAAGATCCAAATATTTTTTTTTTAATATTTGAAAAAATTAACTATGGTAAAAAATATTTTGTAAATTTATAATTTATATTAAAAACTCTACCCGAGTCATTTTTAAAGTTAATCATATTGTGATAACTGAACGGGAATTTTTGAAACAGCATGTAGACGAATAATTCAATTGACAAACAAATTGTCACACTAATTCTAGATCAATTTATCAATGTAGACTTTTTTGATGTAGTGTGTTCAATAAAGATATTCAACACAATGTGGGTGAGGATGTCACTTACAGATATCTTGCCCAGCCGCACTGACAGGGCCGTGTCGTCGGAGGGGTTCACAGGGTCAGCGACGAGGGCTCTCACCTCGGCTATTTTGGTGTTGACCGCCTCCACCTGCATCTCAGGCGGTCCCTCCAGCCCAAACATCCTGGAACAGTCATCATCATCACACAATCATCACAAGTCATCACCATAACACAGTCAATATAACAATATCCAACACACTATCCATTTATCAACACACAGGTTTTATCTCCATACTCAAAAGCCAAAACATCACAATTATCACACCAGTATCACCATCACATACACTGTTATCAACACTGTTGTTATAAGTCATTATCATCCATTCATTTTTGTGATCATATATCCATCATTATAATAATAACACCTTTATCATCATCAACATCACACAGTCATTATCACCACAATCATCAGTCAGTATCACAGTCATCATCACAAGTTATCAACCGTCAACATCATCACCATCGCACAGTCATCAAAATCATACAGTTATTTTTATATGAATATTTGAGTTTTTTTTTCAAAATTCCAATTTTATAGGGGCACTTAAAATGTATAAGAACGTATCAAATAGTGTTGATTAGTGAATAGTGAGAATAGTGAATTAGAGAATAGTGTAAATTAGTTCACCTACGCCTGATAAACGACAAATTTAATTACTGTTTTTCTTAACTTATCAAAACGTTTCATCCAAATAGCGCTTGCTTCCAAAACCTCCCAACAAATTTGGCAACCTTTGCAAATATAATTAATTAGTGGAATGGTGGTTCTTAGCCAATATTTACAGTACAGCACAAACATTCTGACTAATAATATTTTAACTTGGGTATAATGAAAATTGAAATTGTTGAGAACAGTTATATTTAAGTCGTTACTCAGATTATTCAAAAATTCAACGTTGAATATGAGTTTGGTTTGATAAAATTGTAAAGCAGTACTAACAAGTAAGATTTTGTACAATCCTGAAAGACTTTAGTCAAAGAAAGCTGCTTATAACTAGAGTGTATAGCTTATAGGTAAAATATAATCTAAAGGAAATCATTCAAGTTTTAGATACAAACATTTACAGAACGTAGTTCAATTTGGCTGAAAAAACACATAAGTACTTCCATTTTCTGATTTCAAGCTAATACAAATTAGCAAACGAAGAACGGATTTATCAACAGCACAACTAAAATGTCTCAGTCAAGTTGAGTAAACAAAGTAATCCAAAACAGCCAATCCTACCCAAAAAGTGAAAAGTAATAATAGAAAAACGGACAATAAAATGAAGTGAAAAGCTTTACAAAAATAACAATAAAACATATTACTCTTACACAAATTCAGCATAAACATAAAACCACTAAAATTTTTAAACTCACTTCACAACTCCAACATTACAAAATCACTAATACCGAATTCCACTAATACAATATTTAAAACTTTACAAAACACTATAAAAAGATATTTTGAAAAATCTGTAATCTTTCCCAAAAAACTATCGCACAGTTTCAGTCAGCACTTTTACGTTTCCCGAACTTCACAACAATCGTCGCCGTAAGCTACGCGACGGTGCCAGCTGTGTGGCCAAACCGCGTGGACTGAACACAACAACGAGCATTTGGCGCGCGGCCACGTCTCCGACCAGACATTAGAGACCTCATATCACCTGTCAGACTAACTGGGTGTAGAGCTGACTCATTCATCAAACTATTCCGCTCGCCACCGCAGCGTCGTCTGCAGACCGACAACACTGTAGAAGCGGTCAATGTTGAAAAAGCAAAACTGATTCGGGTTGTAAAATAGCTGGTTTTAAAATAGAATTAGAGGTAATATGAGCTGAACAATTTTGTGTTGCATCGGCTGAGTGTATTATTATGCTTACAACAAGGGTAGGATTGGTGATAGTGAGTGTGTTTAATACTATAGAAAAGCTTAAGAATTTTATCCTGTTGTGAAACATGCAATAAATATTGGTAAGTAATTTGTTTAAAAAACATGTTTAAGTCAAATGATTAAACCAACCATTTGAATGAGTTAATGAAAAAATAATAGTGAATGGAATAAATCAGTGATTTTAAAATTGTTTGAAGAACTGATGAATTCTCAAAACTTACCATAATACTCAATTCAAGTTGACTTTTATTAGATCTTAGGGTGAAAATCCCTAAATACTATGTAAAGGTGAATATAATTGTTTAATAAACTATGCAACATTAGTAACGGCTCATCTGATATAACCAATTGTGACTTGATGACTGGAATACGGTCAAGGATAATTTAAATGATTACTGAAGGATTAGCCAAAATCAAAGTTGAACACGAAACAGAAATGAAAAAAATGTTTTCATCCCTCCATACAGAAAGTAGCTAATTTGGATGACAGCTGATCAAAGACAACAATTGTCTCCCAAGCTCTAATTTAGAGCAAGGGAAAATCAATCAGCTGATTTTCACCTTGCCATAATTACTTTCCTTTGCTCTCAATCAGTTGTCCATTTACCTTCCACACACCCTAGTGTTTATTTACAATTTTTTCCCATTATCAGCTGTTTTAATTGTCCAACAATAGAGATATAACCCCATAGTAAACATATATTATGAATGAGCTAGTTATGCTGCGATTTAGCCTATAGTGCTTGAAGTATACAATGAACATAAACTTGGATTTCACTGTGTTACGTAGGTTTGCTATAACCTTTTTGATTTTTATTTTTAGTTAAAATTTAACAGACGTATGTTATAATGTATGAATGGATAAACAACTTTATTCTGTAGGCTAATGTCTGCGGCTGTGAGTAGTTTTGCTTTGTGATGAAAAGTATTGTTCACAACCTGTCCTGAAAGTGATTTTCCAGCACTAGCTGCAATTATTCCCGTCCTCGTCTTTGCCTCACAGAAGAAACTTGAGCACACTTTTGAAAAGTCACTTTCGTTCCTAATAATGAAGTATACTATTCCCAACACTTACTTGTTTTTATGTGCTCCGATCTTATGAAGCAGTTTCAGCCATTGCTGTTTGAGATTGTCCACTTTGGCCTTGACTTCAGCAGCAGACGTCTTGTCACATCTCTCAGCAATATCTTCACCAGCCATTCCAACACTCCTCACGAGTCTGAGAAAATACGAGTTTCAAATCAATTATGAGAATGTTCTCAATAAATTACATATAACAAAGGCTATTTTGGTAATATGTGCATCTTAAACTGAAATAGAATTATAGGCGTATATATTTTCCCAGTAAAATTTCAGCCTTAAATTTTGCAAATCCATACAAAATTGGTAACTTAGTGTTTACACACAAATTCTATAGTCAAATAATTTTGTCTTTACGCTGAATCAGTTTGTATTTGAGAATTCTAAAAAAAATATGGAAAATTAAAAAATTATGGTTCCTGACGGAAGATGGATTTCAGAACTCAAAAAGCATTTCAGTTACATTTAACATTTAAATGACAAATGACAAATGACAATTCTTTATTGCACATAACATCTGTTAGAGTTATTACAAATGTAATACACAGACAGGTACATTGTCAAGGTTTCTAATAAATAAGTAAATCTAAATAGGTATATAAAAAACCTAGGATTTAGCCAGTAAGTTACCCCTACAAAGCTACAGCATGGTGGAACTGTTTATGTTAGGAGAGGTTGATGAGAGATTGGGTGTCTGTTACCAGGAGTCGTTGAAAAATTCCTCAAGAGTGTAATATGCTTTTTCTACTAAAACTGTTTTGATTTTGCCTGTAAATTTTGCTAAGTTTAATTGCTTTAAGGAGTTTTGAATTTTATTGTAAATTTTTAACCCCATATAGAGAGGACTTGTTTCATATTTTTTTAAATTATGAGTGGGGTATTGAAAAATGTCTTGTCTTCGGGTATTATATGAGTGATTACTAAGATAATTTTGAAACATACCAGGATTTCCATGAACCATTTTTAAAATTTCAAAAACGTATATTGAAGTTAGAGTTAAAATTTTAAAATTTCGAAACAATTGTCTACATGATGTTTTTTTGGGGCAATTTGCAAGAGTTCTGATTATTGACTTTTGTTTTTTAAAAACTTTGTGGACATCTGTGGCTGTCCCCCATAATGTAATACCATAGCTTAAAATAGAGTACACATAAGCATAATAAACATTTTTACATACTTCCAAGGAGGTAACCTGAATTAAAACACTTAAAGCATATCTTGTTGGACTAAGTTTTTTGTTTAGAAAATTAATATGTTCTGTCCATTGTAGTTTACTATCCAAATATATCCCTAAAAACTTTACTACATTTGTGGGCGAGGCAGTAGTTTCTGTTCCAGTGGTTGAATTTCTCAATTTGAAAATTAAAACACTAGTTTTAGCGAATTTCCCATATAGGGAATAAGCTATTACCGTAGTACTCATGGTAAGACCTGGACGCGGGACCGATTTTTTTTTTCGTTTTGAGGTCCCTAGAGGCCAAAAACACCATCCGTTCAAATTCATATATATATTATATATTTATATATTTATATATATATATATGTGTCCGTTAGCGCGATAACTCGAGCAAAAATGATCCGATTTTGATGAAATTTGGTACAAACGTGTAAACCTACGTTTATTCGAACGAGTTCGCGATCCACCATGATCGGACCATGGGAACGGGGGTTTACGGGGGCTTTTATGGGGTAAAAATAGGTTTTTCCCATTTTTGACCCAAAAAACATAAAATTTAGCAATTTCTTTCTAAACCATTTTGTAGAGCTTAAAAAAACAAATAATTTAGTATATTGAAGCGTTATCATGCGCCTAATGGTTACGGAGAAAATTCCAAAAAATTTTAAATTTAAAATTCCCATGTTATTCTTATGGAGAATAAGTAAACTGTTGTAATTTGCTTGTTTATGAACATATTTTGATCAAATTTGGAAAATGTTTTTATTTCTTACTAACTACTAACATTTTACAAAAAAAAAAAAACCAGTTTTACCCTCCCTGATGCAGCAAACCTAAGTACTTGTTAAACTAATTCTATTTAAATCGGGAATAAATGTTATATTTTTAAGTAGACATTTCAGTGTAAATCCAATCAGTCAAATGGAAATTCGCTTAGTCTGCAGGTTTGCTGCGGCGGGGGTATTATCTTCATTCAAAAGTAAGCCATTTTTTAAAAACCAATTTGCTATTTCTCCAATTGTTTCTTTGACATCATCATGTAAAATTTTAACAGTACTTCGTCTGATGAGAGCTGTTGTATCATCTGCATAAAGGGTAAAGTTACAGATTTGACTTGAAAAATGAAAAGGTAAATCATTAATATATGTGAGGAATAAGAGAGGACCTAGGATTGAACCTTGCGGAACTCCATAGTTATTATTTGCCCAAGAAGAGTATTTGTTCCCTATAGAGGTGGTTCACTTCTTATAGGGTTGTTTGCTAAAATTGTTTACTAGGCATCAGCAGTCTTTTTACAAGATTATAAAGTGGGAGTATACTGGTATAAAATCCTGTAATCAATTATACTTGTTCAATTATACTGTATTTAAAGAATGTGAAATAATCAAAACATTCAAGGATGAACAGGTCAGAATAAAAATAAACAGAAAGATAAAAGGGAGATCAAGCCCGGAATCAAATTGGAATTAGTATGAGAATAAATATTAGGACAAGAAATTATTGATAACCTTGCTGAACAGTGTATTCTAATAATTTCTGAGTTATCTATAAATAAATATGTCAATTAGAGATTATTTACCTGATTTTCATCAAAGCATGTTCCTCAATATCCTCATGTTTGCTTTTGTCAGCTGCCAAAGGTTCCATCTCGTTCAGCCAATCAGAGAGCTGGCTGCATTCTGTGTTGAAAAGGTCCATTTCTTCTCTACATTTTATCCATCGGCTACAACAAAATATGCATGTCACCATAGAATATATGTGAAATTGAAGGTAGCCAATAATTATTGCAATGCTTACATTACATAAAAGCTTACATTTTTTTTATCTTAACTGCCTTTTGCCCTTTTTAAAAAAGATGTCTTAAATACTTGAATTATGTAAGAAAGAAACTTTGGACTCTTAGCCACTATACATCATTAAAGTATATCTCCATACAGTAATATTTTTAAGAACTACTTAATTTACCGTAAATTTTCATTTAATTAAAATTGTTTACTAGGCATCAGCAGTCTTTTTACAAGATTATAAAGTGGGAGTATACTGGTATAAAATCCTGTAATCAATTATACTTGTTCAAAATTAAAATACACACATCAAGAGCAATAAAAACAAATATTTGAAGAGAGGCAATAGCACAACTCATCCTGTTTGAAATTAACAACTTTTGAGCCTACTGTGTTTAGTAAGCATTCATCAGGATAAACAATAATATGGCTAAAGATAAGTTTTAAGTTTCTTAATAAACTATAATGTAGCATGGAAACTGGTCATTACTTCTGACGTTTCTTGACGCCGTGGTTGAAACGGCTCCACTCTTGTTGAAGTTTATCCAAAACTTTCGCTGCTTGTTCTGTTTTTCCCTCACTAGTTGCCTTCTCTGTCAGTAAACTTTCAACAAGTGGTTTCAGTTTTGCTTGCTCATCTTTGACACTCTGCAAAACAATAAACTTTTAACATCTTTAGTTGGGTTGATGTTGAATGAATAAATGAGTGTGCTATGTTTCATTGTTGCATGCTTTTTGTGGAAGATTTATCTGAGGGATTTCTTTAATACGTCATTCTATATCTTTAAGATAGGTTTGCAAACAACTAGAGATGACTCCCAAACCTCTTTGTGTCAGCAATGTCACTAAGGTACAAACTAATGGCAATACAAAATAGTTAATTTTCCTTAATTTACCTAATAGTTTTCCTAATATACCATAACAAAAAAAGGCAACAATAGGATTTCTTGAATGTATTAGGGAACAAAGTATATCAGTTCACAAGTATCAGTCAGAAAAAAAGTTTGGATTAGCAATAAAAATACATTTTTTTATCAAAGGAAAAGCAGTTAGGTATGAAAACACAAGTTTCAATGTAATGTAGAACGGTGTGTTGAAAAAATATTCGACATAGATATGGTGAAGAGTACTATTAAGTATGATGAGTCATATTTGCAACCACTGTTGATCAAATTCCCTTTGATCTATTAGTAGTAAGTACACAGTTGTATTGTTGTATTTATTACCTTCAACGCTGGTTCTTGAGTCATGAAGATGTTGAAGTCTGGTCCCGTCAGAGGAGGAGAAGTCAACTTTCGCAAGGCATTTGTCACCTGCTCTCTCAACTTGTTAGTTCTGGTTACGATGTCACTTCCACTAACTTCAACCTTCTGCTGCAAACAGAGAAAGATTTTAGGAGGAAAATAATTTAGATTGTCTAGTGAAGCATAGACTATTGGTTTGTCAACTTGAAAATTATTTGTTTAACTGAATTCCACGCCGTTTCAAAATATGAACTTCCTGTCCCATTAAATGTTTACAGTTCCTTTCTTAGTGAAATAACGCTGATTGTGTCTTACTATTAACATTATTGCAAGTTACAGTATTCCCCATCTCCAGTTGTAATAGTAGTGTTCTATGATGTGTTTCCCTGACTTTCACAATTCTTATAGAACTTGAACACTTTATTCTATCAGGCATTAGGCTTACATTTTTACACATAAGAGCTATGAAAAGGTATACAATGTCTTCCTTAGTCAAAATGATCTTACAAAGGCGTGCTTCTTTGATATTCTTTGACTTTCAGGAGTTTCAATTGAACTGAAACATAAACCGAAACCCCTATTTTATTAAATTTTAAAGCTTCCTTTGACTACCTGCTGTGTAGCCGCAGTATCTTTCCGCAAGTGAGCCATGTAAGTGCGGATCGTCTGCCACTCTCCGGCCACTGACTCCAGTCCACCATGGTCCACCTGCTGAATCTCCAGCTCTGCTGACATCTTCTTCAACTTCTCAATCTCCGACTTGCGAGAACTAATCTCCTCCGCTAACTCCTAGAAATTTTAAAATTGTGTTTTATGAAATTGTTAACTTAATTTTCTTTGAGCCTAAAATTTCATCCAAAATGTGACGCATAGCGACACGCTATATTTTACATAGTGTGTGCCGTTCGCGAAGCTGGGCTGCATGACTATCTCGTTGCCTGCCGCGACTGCATAAACGCGCTATCCCCACCCTCCTAGACTCTTGTCCTTTCCTCCTTCTTGCTCAACCAACTGTCACTAAACTATAGTTCGGCCGCTTAGAAAACGACCTGCGCGCTAATGCTAAACCAATGCTGGAGGAGGTTGCTTTCTAAGCGGCCGAACTATAGTACTTTAGGAAACTCTAAGACTTAGGACTTTAGGACTTTAGGGAACTTTAGGAATAAATAAATCCTAGATATTGAAGTAGTAAATTTAAACACAAATGAGAACCTTGACTTTATTATATTTTTATAGAAGTTATACGTTTCGGACATGAGATTATTTTCAAACTTCATTAATAGTGAATACTTAACTTTTGTTTACATTATTTGTTTTGTGTTAATATAATTTGTTTTTGTTTTTACAGATGATTTTTTTTATGAGACAGGATTTGAAAAGTTCTGTTAGCTATTGATTATCTTTGTAAGATTATTTTCAAAAATGGGGTTTCTCAAACAAATTTGGCTATTTAAAATATGATTTGGATTGTTCAGGTTTTCTTTATATATGAGGTATTCTTCAGTTGAATCCAATCGGTTTTCTTTGCTTAGCATTTTGAGAATTGTCATGTTATTTTTCAAATTTGTATAACTGTGACCTAATGGATTCAACCGAAGAAGCTAGGATGTTATTGAGATAGAGTTTAATCACCGAGCATTTGAGCGGAAACACAGAGATTCCTAAAAAGCGGCTGTTAAACCGAACTGCTCTCAAAACAAGGTTGGTTAGAACGAAACGTAATATTTTACAAACTAGGGCGGGTAATCCAATTATCGGTTAATTCAAGGTCAGTTCAGACGTCTACTGTAACATGTTGTAACATAGTTGATAAATCAAGTATGGCAGTAGATAACTGTAGAAAACTGGATAAAATGATTCAGTTACCTAACGTAATAGCACCAACTCAAAGTTCTAGCCCTGTGTTTTACAAACATTCCGTATGGTTTACCTTGATTCCTCTCTCGTCATTGTTCGCCCGCTCCAGTCTATTGGAGACGTCACTCAACCACTTGACCGTGTTCTTGGAGAGATCAACGTAATCCACCAACAGCTTCTCTGCTTGCTGTGCCTGCACTTTCCTCACCTGTGAAAAAAACATTTACACTCAAATTTATGCAAATTAGTTCAATATAGATGTTTGACACACATTGGATGCATTATTTACATAGATGTATTTTTTACAGAAATGCTACAATAGTTTAGTCAACCATTGTTAGTTACTTAGGTTTACATGTAGGAGCACATCATAGTCAATGCAAACCTTGTACCTATGTGCGTCAGCCACATATGGGCTTTTTACGTTCTCAGCTTGTATCTCAGTGTTTAATGGACTGCAGCAGTCGGTCTTCAACTCATAATTCTATTTTCAAGACACAAATGCAGCTTGTCTATCTTTTTTTAGTGAGATATCTCCTTCTACTGTAGAAAATATTTTTTTTCCCTACTATAAGGACTTGCCCTAATTTCTATAGCCTATTTTCCTAAGTAATTTCTAATATTAGCTAGATCACCATATCCGAATGATTGACAAATCCGCTAAAAGTAATTGTTTAAGATGTAACCACAACAAGATGGCAATTCTGAATCGCCTACCTCAGTCTCCGACATGACCTGGGCCCACTTTGCCCGCAGTCTGTCCTGTGCTCCGGTACGCAGGGAAATGGCTCGCTCTGGCTGTGTGGTGTGTACAGACAACACCAGACCATCACCTCGACTGATCAGTGTGGCGGCGTCCGGCGCAAGACAGCTCAGCTCACGCTCCAACACCTGCGTCAACAGATAGTCTATAGTCGCTTACTACAAGCATCGCCATGCATACTTGCCTCATGCATTAAGGGATTAAGACATAAGAAATAACAAACAACAATAGTTATTTGTGTAACTAGTGGTGAAAGTGGCACTTTGCTGCACACGAGAGCAATGTTTACGCACGAGCCGCAGGCGAGTGCGGAATGATCTCGAGTGCAGCAAAGGCCTTTTTCACTCGTGTTACACATTATATTTTTCCTACAGTCACTATAAAGCATATAAATAATTAGTCTTTCAAACACTATACAACACGTTTTTAGGTTCAGCTGGCAACACAAATAGTGCCCTAGAGAAAGTAGTACCCGCGGTCCGTATCACTCCGCTATTTTTCCTCGGCAAGAAATGTGCTCCGCGTTTTGAGAATATAGTTCCGTATGTTTTTGTAATTTGAAGTGGTTTCCGCGCCTAAAAAAAATGCTTTAAAGGTATTTTCTTGTTTATTAAGATCGTAGGAATGTTTTAAAAACGTTTAAAAGAAAAGTCCAGAAAGTTCAGAAATACCGAAACTATAAACACGAAATGAGAGGTTAAATCGTAGTTATAATAGTCAATCAGCTGCTCATAGTATTATTATTTTTAAGTGTTGCCAACCTATTTCCAAGCGTACACGGATTACGTGCATAATAGAACCACGCTGTTTTGTGTTGTTTCGTTGGAATCCTGATGTGCGGCAAAGTATAAACCGTATGGCAAAGTATAAATTTGCAGCAATTAGCAGCTTTCTGTACTATAAACAGTACAAGGAAGCCAACTTTGTCGGGTGACTGTAGGAAAAGTATTTTTTACTCTTCCTCATTCCAGAATCAATTTATCAATATGTGACCACACAAAGGTTGATGTTGCCATAAGGTCAACTGCTACATCTCAAAACAGAAATCATTAAAACAGTATAACCATTTTGAATTTCAATTGCACCACTGTTTTCAAGATGAAAAGTAGATGTTATTTGACATGTTTGACATGTTATTTGACATTGGGGAAGGAACTATATAACCAGCCTATATCAATCTTTATAGTAACTTTAATGGCCATTGTCATTACTTAAGGGTCTGTTCATGAGATGTTCCAAACATGCAGTTGAACCTATTAAATTGAAAATCCTTTTTATTTACCTCGAGACGTTTCCCAGGATCGGCCTCGCTGTTGATGCCCCTGACTGTCACCAACATCGTGTCCATCCTCTCCAACATCTCCTGAGCTGCCTCCTCAAACTCTTCTATCTCTTTGTCGAGGGGAATCCGAGGGATGTCCTCGGACTTGTCTTGTCTCATTTCGTTATCTTCTACCTCATCTTCCCGGCCGGCTGTTGTCAACGATATGTTTGTGTGGTATATGTTGCCTTGCTTGTTCTCCTATATGGACGTTAAAACAATTAAAAAATATTTATTAGGTTCTTAAATTTGTTAATAAATAAGGAATTGCAGTAAATATTTTAAACTCATATCTAATATTGTAATAAATCTTTCCCCATTCAATTGCAGTATTCACATCTTGGCATATTTAACCTTTAGTATATTTGACTTGAGGGTAGTTCCTAGTTTGATTTTTTAAACAAAACAAATAGTACAAGAAACAATTTAGATACGTTAATAAATGAAGTTTAAATTTAAAATGTGCCCTATTTACACTAAACATTTTTTAAATGTAAAACCTACGATTTACATTTTAAGATAATACCTTAACTAATTGCAAAAAATAGTTATATCACTGTACGATAATTTTAAAAATAATGATGTTCAGTAGTGACATTATGATTCAACATTTCTAAAAGGGATACTGTAGCAAAAAATACAGTTTTTCACACTACTTGCAACAACTCATTGATAGCACGTTAAATTCATCTCCAGTAGAGTTACATAAAAAGTTTACATAACCTCAAAAGTGTTAAACAAACTTTCAGAGTTATCACCTAAAATAAACTCACCTACAATAACCACATTGCACATGCCTAGAGCATTTCAAAGTTAAAAACACTGAAATTTGTCTGCTACAACAATTAACCTACAAAACCACACACAGCTGTTTTTACTGGTGATATCAGCTGTAAGAATGCTGTTGGTAAACAAGAGTAGCCAGGATAGAGGATTTGGCAATTAGCCAAGGCTCAGAGGCCTCCGTGACCTGGTCACTCTTATATAACTGGATATGTAAATCACCGTGTTCATATGCATACTGTTGTGGCTTGGAAACTCTCCTTGCTGTATTTATATTGTAAAGTACTGTCCATAGTTATACTATACTGATATCATAAATAGTAAGATTGTACTGATTTAAATGGGGAGAAGAGTACAGAGTACTCTAGTGCATAGAAAGTACTCCAAGTCTGAGGGACTTATCCTTATTGTCTAAATATATGTATCTAAAGTGTGAGGTTGTGCATTAATGAATAGCTAAAGATATTAGCGATTGGTGGAATTCAACATGAGCCTCCAAAAAGTTCCTGGCACTAGCCACAAGACCAGCTGCGCAGTTTGCTATTTGATACAATTAACTTTCGACTCAATGGAATCTATGCTAATACTATCCAAAACTGTAGTTTCAGATGTCTCTATTTTAAATTTGTTTAGTTTATTAATTTTTAAAAGACTCGCAAAAAAAGTGAAGTGTTGTCACAAATATAAAACAAAATACCTGTTGTTATCAAGTTATCTGCTGGATTTGCACTATTAAATTGTCTACTACTGCAATCTTGTTGTGGCTACATAAGGTGTTTTCAGTTTTCACAATTTCATCAAACTATCCTACTTTGTATAAATACTTCTCTATTTACAGCATATATATAATTACGTACAAGGGATATTATAAACCAACCTTTACAGGAGAAAGTTCCACATCATTGGAAACTTCCTGAAACTCATTGTCTGAGCTAGAAGTGTCGTCTTCAAAATCTACATGACCTTCGTCTTCAGAGAAGACGATAGCGTCGTCTGTTTCTTTATCACTTCCGTAGAAGCTGTCATTGTCGTCAACAACAGGCACAGTCAAACCCTTCTCTGCAGTCATGAAGTTACCGATGATTTGATATGTTTTTGACACTTCCACTTCCTTTCTGAATGTAACTTCTTTAGAACTTTCGATCGCTCTGTCTTTTGGTATCTCCCAAGTTTTAACAGTTGCTTGCTCAACCCGGTTGACTTTATCAGTCATTTGTAAGCACAATGGCGAGGCTAGGTTTTCTGACTGTTCATAAGGAGTTGGCGGAGGAGCCTGTGCGGATTCTACGTTGTAAGTGAACATAGGACTAGTAGAGTTTTCTTTGTCTATTGATTCTCTAAGAGAATCACCAGCAGCGTCCAGCAAAGCTGTTGTCTTAACGTTTCTTCCTTCATCTCCAACAGAATCATCAAAAACATTATCTTCCAATTCCTTTGCTCCTGGAGTTTTAACTGTCTCACCACCAGATTCTCTGAGCGTCCGTAAAGCTTCATCGGAAGCCATCTTTTGTCTTTTCGCCAAAATCTCCCCAGGGGCAAGACATGTTTTTCTCTGTTTGTGACTTCCGTCGGTTTTCCTCGCTGTGACAGGGGACGGCCACCGGTCCTCAGGGTCAGTGTCAGGAGCCGAAGAGTCAGCCTCTGTCTCAGTGTCTTCGATGATCTCCACAATCTCTACAGTCTGCGGCTCCAAGTGGTCAGACTTCTCAGGCATTGTCGTCACATGTTCAGTTGATGAAACCGTCGATTTAGGTATTTCCTTAGCTTTCACCTCTACCACTTTGCAAGGGTTGTCTTCCACCACATTGGTTGGACTCTGAGGAGCTAAAATAGTAGTACGAGAGACCTGGGAGAAGAGAGCGCTGTCTTTAGCGAGATGGAAAGTATCGTTTTCGTACTCCTCCTCGTCTTCAGGTTCTTCTATAATAACATGGGATGTTTCTACATTGTCTACATTCTCGTACACACTCCTCCGTTTGTTTTCACTACTTACAACAAAACTACCAGGTTCTGTAAGCTTGCTATTATTGGGAATTTCCATTTCTAATTTTGACACAAAAATCTTGGTCGATGTATCATTTTTCAAGATTGACTTCACCTGTGTCTCTCCGTCTACGATTTTCCCTTTAGGTAAGCTTTCCTTGATTTCATCTGGTGTAACAGTTTTTTTCACTTGTGGAACTTCGGTTTTCTGTATTTGACTATCAGAGACATTAGATCCAGATTCACTTGCGAGACTTAGTGACGTTTCAGAAATCTCACTCGGCTCTTTTATTCTCACAGTTTTTGTAGGTTTACTGGGCTTCAATATAGATTTAGAGGCCTTTGTGAAGCCCTGAAATCAGAGGTGAACAATCCAACATGATTTGTCTGTCAATGAAAGATGGCCTTCTATATTTAAGTGCAAAAGACAGTGGTCAAGTAAACTTCTGAAGCACATTCACAAGCTATGACAATGAACCCGACACCAAAGCAGTTATTTTCCAAGTGTTTGCTTCCCAACAATACTTCCACTACACTTGAAGACCTCTTCATGTTTTAGTAATTAGTCACATTTACATAAACTGTTGAATTGCTAGTTGTAAGTTAAGTATTGATTCAGGCAGTGCAACGGAAGAGCTTTTGCGTAGGTGTCCATCAGTGGAAAAGTAAGCGTCCATTACCTTCTTAAAACCATTATACTAACTAATTTCACAACATTTTTGAAAGTTGGTGAAGCAAGTTAAACAAGATGGCCAGAGAAAGACCTTCGAACATTGACATAGGTCTAGTAACATTTGAGAAATTATAACTCCAAATGCACTGTGATTAATTTGTGTAAAAAGTGCAAAGTCCATTTACTAAAAGTGCTAAAGCAAAACACATGATATCAAGATGAAAATGTGAAAACTGAAACCATCACCACTAATGAGCATGATATTTAAAACAAATATGTCCAAATCAAACAAACAACACACATATCAAAATTTAAATTTTACAATAATAACAAACATATTTTGAAACGTAAGTTTTAGTATTGACTATTGGAAGTTTGTGTATTCGACAGAAATTAGTATTTTAGATCAGCACAATCTGTCATAAGCTACAAAGATTTTGATTGAAAAACCGGCGACAACTTTTACATGGAGATGGAATGTCTAGTTGTATCATTGGTCAAAGATTTTAGCTAGAAAAAATATTGAAAATCTAAACATTTCTTAAACACTGATTTCAATAAATTTAAATATTTTTCCTGAAACATTTATTTGTTGTTTAAATTAACTGTAACACTTATTTGTATCTGTCATTATTAAGAAAATGTTTTTTACATTTTTAATCTCTCAGAAATATTTTCAAACACAAATACTAAATCCAAATATTATTGTAATAGCATTCTAAACATGCGAAGAAGGGAATTAATTTTCAAATCATGATTAGAGTTATTGTTTTTGGGGTTTATCACAGTGTTAGTAAATCCATGCTGTGTGCAAGATCTAAAATATGTCAGTTTTCATGCATTTTTGTTCAACGTAAAATGTTTATGTCTTATAATTGAAAATGAGCCACTAAACAAAATTAATTGAGTTCTTTCACAAATTATTAAATACAGGCATTCTTTTACTATAAAACTCTAGTTTTGAAACACTATAATTTCTTGGTATGATAATAAAATTATCTGGTAAAACAAATTTAGTAAGAACTCATTTACTTATGTCAATATTACAACTGTATTATCTTACTCAACCCCAAAAAAATAAAGATTTTCAACCGAGAATAATAATTTTAACAGTCAACAGGCAATGTTATCCCTTGACAGATTATAGTGTTTCGGGAGCTAAATATATAATTGTTTGATAATGAAACCCAACATAAAATATTATCATATGGCTTAGATTTTATATCAAATCAGAATGTATAGTAAATTGTCACTACCAAAAAACTTTGTTGTAATAAAAACCTTATACTGTGGTCAATAAATTATACCAGACAATTTGCTAAGCTCTGGCAGGTTGAGTGATTTGAGTCCATAGATACAAACACTTTCGCCCTGACACGGTCTCTCTGACTGCCTCATAAAAAATATTTTTTCCAAACCCTAATTATTCAGAACTAATACTGTGGTTTAACAGTTTAAAATATCAAGTCCAATTCAAAACTTAAGACCTCATCTCACAATACATCACAATCTATCATATACCTGTAGTTGGGTCTGAGCCTGCAGCAGTTTGTCCCGGGTCCGCTCCCATTTGCGTACACAGTCACTGACCCTGTCCTTTAACACCTCCAGATACACCGGGTCACACAGGGTGGAGAACGCTCTGTAGTTGCTCTTGATCTGGTCCTTGCGTTCTCTCCACCTCTCACACTCTGTCAGAGTGTCCTGAGACAATAATCAAAATTGCTAAATTTTTTAAAAGATAAATATCCTAAAACAAAACAAAAAGACTAAAAAATTAGTTTTTGTGAGAATGAATAGGGTTGACTTTTGCTTTTAGTTTGGGATCGGATGGGATGGAATTTTCATTTCCTTTCCGATTTTTGGGACGAGACAAGATTTTTTCCTCGGGCAAAGAGAGTTTGTTTTGAAAAGCTAATAAATCAAATCAATTAGCAGTCTATACGGTACTGTTTTAGGAAAACTGATAATGGGTAAAAATAGACAGGTAACAGGAACTGGTAACTAAAAATAAAAATGTATTGATTCTTCCCTCACCTTAACAAAGCTGATCTCTGCCTGGATGTCCCGGTGGTTGGCCGGAGTAGCTTCCACCTGGTCCAGCTCCAGGTCCACTCCCTCCGCCCAGCTGGTCAGGGCAGGGATGTCTGACTGTAGTGAACGTGACAGCTCCAGGGCTGTGGTCAGACTGGACATGGCTTCAGTCACTTGTAGACCCAGCTGAGAACAAGAAAATTGTTGGCTTAGGTTACAGTGAATATACAAGTATAGTTAAAAAATAAAAGTATTTTCCATATGCTCATTCTTTGTCACTGGGAGTCACTGGGACTCTATGTTACGTACCTTGTTGTACAGTTCCTTGAGAGTGTCGAGACGTCCAGTATAGTGTTGAGGAACAGACTTCTCCTCCACTAGCTTCCTGCCGCACTTGATCACACTCTCTACTTCAGACTTGATCTCACTCAACGTCTGGTAGAAGCGCTGCAAAGACAAAATGTAAGTCTCACTGATTGAAATATTATGTTGTTACTTAATGTTAGATGATGTTTTACTAGTGGTACATTTTTAACTTATCAAATGGAAATGTTTTATTTTCCTAGAAGGCATTGTCAGAATTTATCATGACTATAAGTCCTTGAAACACCAAGCCTTCGAGACTTGTATGGGAATGCAACGGTTGAACAATATAACTATGACTAATGACAGTTTGCAAATTAAATATTTATTTTGTTTAAGTTCAGATACAAAACCAAACATTGCCACAATGACTGAGAACGTAAGTACCAAGATGTCAACGGATAAATCCTTTAAACCATTTTCATTATTCCTTTCAACTTTCAACTTTCAACTGATAATGTTTGTTGTCCAGCATTTTAAAACCTCAAGACAACATTAACCTCGTCCAACAAACTGTTACCACACTGCCACACCAAAAGTATGGGTACAATGCAAGCAATTAAACTATAAAATTTAAAATTTTGCTCCACATTTCAAATTGTCTTCCTCTTGTACACCAAACTTAATTTCCTTTCCATGTAGTCTTGCAAGACTATGATAACTCAGTTTCTGTTTACCTTGCAATGGTTCAGTTGGCCCTGAATGCTCTCTGGATCCTCAGAAGCCAGCTCCAGTAGGCAAGTGGCTTCCTCGATCCCCCGCAACTCTCTCATGGCTCGGTTCAAACGAGGCTCTAGGTTGCTCGGTGATCGAAAACGTTCAAACTTCTCAGCAATATCATTGAACCGTTCCTTAAAAAATCAAAATGTGATTCCTACAAATACTTACAGCAGAGTTCGCTTATTTAAATCTACTATTCTGAAAATCTGCCTAATCCAAACAGGACTCAAGGAAAAATAAAACTATGTTAAAAGGAATATGAATCAGTAGGAAAGAATTTATATACAACTAACTTACTTAAAGACCACTTACTCTCTTACTCTTCTTGGACCTATAGTAGTGTATTCCAACTTAGTATGGACGTTTGTGTATTGTTAGTTGTAATGTGTTATTTAAGTTTTTTCACCTGAGGACGGGATCAGATTCTAGATCCCGAAACGTTGTGTATTGATTACCATCGTTATGGAAAATGTCCACAATCAACCTTTGAACAACATTGCTTAAAGAATTAGTTGCAGACATGGATGGCACACAATACATCCAAGTACCAACATTTTTATAAAGAGGAGTATCTGATGATCTAATTAGCAGTGTTATGTCCTACCTGTAGTAGAACCATCTGTTCCTGCAGTCTGGCCGCAGCCTCATGCTTCCCCGCAGCTCTGTAACTGCGGACTTGCTCCTCCATCTGCTGCAGAGTACGAGCTTGCGTCTCAAACTCCTCAACAAGTCTCTGTGAATGTCGCAAAACAACATAAAGTCACCAGTGAAATCGCAAAACACTGTCATCTAATGGGAATTAAAACTGTTCATGATTTTATTATTAAATGGGTGTTGATAAAATGATAAAATACTACTTGATTCAGTAAGATGTCAAGGTATTGACGAAACACTGCGGAAATCACAGCAGAACATCAGTAGGTAAATTATTATGAATGTTATTGGATAAGATTTAAAAATCAAAATTGGTTATTTAGATTTTTTTTCACTGGTCATTGATTTAGACTTAAAAATTACTTATTTGAGTTATGTTAATGTTTGGTCATGTAAACTCTCAACAGAGTTATTAGTGTTTCTAATACAATGATGCATTTTATATTTATTGTTGTGTTTGGTTGGTATACATTTATTTGACTAAACAGCAATTTCGTGATAGATACAGCACTCTGTTCATAAAACATCTTGTTATAATTTTTTAATGGAATGAATCGTTTGCCATTCTACTTTATTGAGAAAATGGCCAAATCTTAACCAGACAAAGCATTACTGAAACAATATTTAATTTATACAGTTAAGAACTATCATGCAGATGGAATTATGAACACAATGAAATAGAGCACAGAAGAAAGAACCCATCTGTACAAAACAGTATGACAAGAGATCTTACCTTAAAACACAGACACTTTTAATCAATGCACACAAAGCTTGATTACATACATAAGAACTTATAAAGGAGTGATTAAAATCGTTGGACTCACAGGATTTGTAATGAGATAGAAATTTATAACTATAGAATTAAATAAAATTATTTAACAAAAAGATCAGAGGAGGAGAAAATAAAAATACTAAAAACCAGAAACTGTACGGTAAGAAGAAAAATACATATTGAACAATACATATAAAACAATTATTTAAAACGTTCAATATGAATTTAGTAAAGACTAAACTAAATTTGTCAAAATTACTTTCAATCAAATCACTCGTATAGAACTTGAAACTTAAAATGAACCAAAAATGTCACCTGAACGTCGTCTGGCAAATCGTGAGCGGTGAGATCGTTGTCGATGCGTTCTGTTAGTTGTGCTTCGACATCGTTCAGCCACTCTTGGAACAGCACGATTTGGCCTTCCAGCTGTTGTGCTTCGACCACACAGCCCTCAAGTAACACGGTTCGATCCCTAGCCTAGAAACGCAACGGAACAGCTCGCAGAAGGAAGCGTGACCACTACAGCCAATAAGACTAACAAGCTTATGGCAACAATGAGTCATGCGTGTTTATCAAATGTTATACAAGATAACCACTATTAGGGGATGATTAATAGATAAACGATTTTAATGGTATTAAATGGTATTGTTGAGTGACACATATGTTCTAGTTTCTACCAAGTAGCCACCTAAAACCCAATGTCAACTATTTTGTTTAGTTTTGGGTTAGGAACTATGTTTTGTATTATTTTGTTAAATAATCCATTAAAATGTCAATTATTTTCTTTAAATGAAGATCTTTTTGAGAAACACAGTTTTTTTTTGTGATTTACAAATAAGTCATAAAAGTTATTATAGGGTTAGTAAATTTTATTTCACTGGTTTTATATAAAAACTTAAATTGAAAGTTAATTCAATAGCCAAAACATTATTACTTATGGCAAAAACTGAAGGGAAAATAGATCAATTTCATTATAATTTCTGGAATGTTCAACCTGTTTGGTGTGAATCAAAAAATAATAATAAAACAATTTAATTTTAGACATTATGTTATTTTAGACATTTAGTATATTTTTTGTTGGTTTCATTAAAATATTATGTAAATTGGAATCACTGTATCTAGAGTTTATGTACACTGATAACCTCAGTAGTGTTAAGAACTTGTAGTAGCCATTTTATAGTCCCATATTATCTTAAGACTTTCTATCGCAAATTATGGTTTAACGTAACATTCCTAGCCTCATTGAACTTGCTTTTTTAACACTTGGAGAGTGGGGTGAATGCACTCTGTAATCTTGATACTTAACACAAAAGTTTGCACTATTCTACTATAGGGGATATTCGTAACTTATTTCCAACTTTAATTCGGTATATATTTTAAAAGCAACAAATTAAATACCACCCAAAGCTGTAACATATCTAACTATCAAAACAATACCACAGTAATGAATGAAAGTTACCAAAATGTTATCAGAAATAGAAAATTTAGTAAATTCATGCACCAAAAACGACAATATATGCCATCATGCCACTTGTAGATATAAGCCATTTATAAAGCATCATGCAACTATTTGCACAATGATTTAAAATTATGAACAAATATATAAATGGTAACAGCATGGTCTTAGGCTCATCGCAACTTTCAAGCCTAATAAAAGAGCTCACCATAGAGTTTCCGATTATATTTTCTAAGAGGACTACTTGGCTCTGAAATGTCAATGAAAATGTATTTGAAACTAAATAATCAAAGATATTTGTTGTTAAAGATACAGTTATGTACATTTGAGAACACTACTGTTTAATATTAACTGTGGCAACTTAAACTTCACCTATATGGTCCAAAAATTAATGTTTACTTTAGTTTATAAACATAACATTTTTTATGAATTTCCAAAGAGATCAATGCATGGTACATAAAAAAAATAATTTAAACTAAAATCAAACTTAACTATACAAATTAACATGTATATATTTTGAACAAATATTTTGAATGCTTGGTTTTGAAAAAGGTTTTTAAGTTATAACAAATATTGCTTTCATTCCTCATAAAATTATACTATTGTTGAAGATTTTATATACATCTGTATGTTACGAGTTTTATTTATTTGTGATTTCCAATGTTTGGCCTACATTCAATTTTTAACTAGAAAAGCTAACAAATTTATGTAGATTGACATCAGCTGGTTTTGCTAGTGCGCTGAAACCAAAAACTTAATCATGCATGTGATTGTGAGTTCACACATAAAGTTCTAAAATCAACTTGTATTTTAAGATAAATTTTCTTTGCCCAATTAATTGTTGGATTAACTTTCATATTTACTGATAAATACAAAATCTATCTATTTAAAAAAAAAATTACTTTACGGTTTGAGGTCAAGTATGTAACATTATTCATAAGGGCCTAGGTTTAAAGATATTTTTACGATAGCCGACTTACCTGAACGATAAAAAGTCTAATATGGCACAAAAACACATTTACCCACATAAAAATTAGAATACTTCACTACAACCTTCAAACCTTAATTGGTTGAGAATGCTGATTAAGACAATGAAAAAATGTTAATTCTTTGTAAAATATAAAAGAACTTCTTTCTAAGAAGAATATATATTCGTTCGTATATTCGTTCGGAGGAATATATTCGTTCTTTGTAAGATATAGAAGAAGGTATGTGTTTTGTTGGGCTAGATTGGACTCATTGCTCAGATGAGCCATCCTAACAAAAATCCCTAAAATATTCCACAGTAATTCCACACATCCCCACCTCCCCTTCACACACACACAGTCGTACCTGCTGGCTCAGCTGACTCCATCGGGTAGTGATGGCTTCCACGTCCGCCTTCACACTCTGTGACATCATCTTCTCGCTGATCAGAGAACGTCCGAGCTCTTGCAGACGAGACAACCTGGCGTCCGGGTGGTTGCGGATGTAGTTCTCCAAGTCCTGCAAGCATCGAAAACCTAACTTTTAGCATTCACCTCCATATGGAAATTGTTTTTGGGTAACCTAACCTAACCAATTTAGTTGTGGTCGGTATAATACCTAAATTTGTAAGTATCCGTTTTTGTCTGAGATTCATTGTTTGGTTTTTTACCTTATTTAACATAATTGTGAAATAAGATTTTAATTCAGAATTTGTGTTAATTTAAGAACTGCTAATGTTCCAGAGATTTATTTAACCTTTTCTCCTTGAAATCTTGGATTTTACTTTATTTGTCCTAAAACGCTAAATTTTTAATATTTACTAACAGAATATTTGTGACGGTAACCCTGGTATAAACCTAAAACGTAATTTTCTACTTAACACAGGACATCAACTCTTACATCAAGCTCTTCTGAGATTTCTTCAGCATCCGCTGCAGACTTAGGAGATTTCTTCAGCCGTTTCTCAAGTTTGTCCAACCAATCCATCTCTTGGGCAACAAGTGCTGAAAAAAGAATGTTTACTGAAGTATTTTCATGCTGGAGAGAAAGTCTATTACAGAATAAATATGATATCCAAAGATTAAAACTAGGTTAACTGTTGTCCAATTTTTTTATAAACTTGTCTTTGTAATATCTGAAGCATTAATGGCAAATAGACAAAAGCCTTTAACAACAAAACTGACTTGCAACTGCAAGAAATGATGAAAACTGTCTCACAATTTACTAAAACAAAAGAGAAACAATAGTGTGAATTTCAATAGTATGTATTAGAAACAATTCCAATTTTTAAAATTTAAATCTATAATCTATACATCACAGATACAAATTCAAAGTCATTTATTTACCTCTGAATTCCCCATACTGATGGTTGGCATCCTGCAAGAACTTGTACTTCTTTGATACCACTTCATTGATTTCCATCCATTTGGAGTCGATTTCTTTAACCTTGTTCTTTAACTCTTCAACACCTTCTCCTTGATGGTTGCTGATCAGTTCATTTGCTGGAAAAAGAAAAATTGTTCTACTTAAGTTGAATTTCATGATTGAAAATGCATTTGTTTTATGAGTTGTTTTGCAAGACTTCCATGCATACATGATACTCCATACACACCATAACTTGTTCAACCACATAGAAGTAAGGAACATGCTTATGGGATGACTGTGCCCTTTCAGCTCTAGAATGTTGTGTCGGAAATATCCTTGTGACGAGCACGGAAGGGCCTGAGCGGCGAGCACTATGCGGAAATTCCTATCACACGGGACACAAGGTTTTCCTCCACTGAGTGTGTTGTAGTACATGAAGTCAAGGGGGCGGAGTTGTACTTTGCCCTGGACACCATCGACTAACTCTAGACAGCACATAACTCTAGACAGCACATAAGTGTATCATTGAATATTTCCTCTGTACCAACTTATCTGGGACTCAATCTATTACTTCTGTTCAGCTGTAAATAGTAATTTTAATGTATAGTGGAAATTATCTTTCACCCCACTGCTTCTTTATATGGTTTAAACATTAAAATGCCCCTGTAAAAATAACTAATGGTTTTTGGCTCAGAATTGCATCCAACAATTGCTAACCTTTTTCATTCTTCAATCTTTTTAGCAGTCCTACCTTGTTTCATGACAGCGTTGAAATCCTTGGTTTTCTTCTCAACACTTTCTTTCAATGACTGGAATCTTCCTTTCATTTTGGAAAGATCTGAAGGTACCTGGATGCTAGACAAATCAGTGTTTCCTTTCTGCTCAGCAGTGGTCAACCAGGCTGATAATTCATTCAACCCATTTGACACCTAGAACAAATGTTTTCTAAAACAAATATATCAAGGAGCCTGAAAATGATAGACGATTACTTTGTAAAATATTTAACTACTACTAGGACTGGATTAAGATAAAGGATACACAAAGTGCATCCAGTAAAAGAGATCAAAGTAGTAGTTAGCACACAACCAGTTCACAATAGATTAACCTGGATATGGAACCCCTCAAGCTTCTTTAAGCAAAGTTTGCTCTCCTCTTGTCTTAAGTAATTTAATAGTACAGTGTACTGTTTTCCTAGATCCGGAGCAGACCGCCACTAAGGAGAACCCACCTTAAGATGGAACTAGTACAATCTACTACATTCTTCTTCAACTCTTTTCTTGGCAAGTAAGTTGGGTATAAATTTCAAGAAGTGTACTCTACAGCCAAAAGCTTTTTCTTCAACAAAAATTAACTTCTAGAAAATTTACAAGAAACTAACCTGGTTATACTTTGTTATAACATTCTTCACACCATCACGACGATCCACTGCTTGTTTCTTTATCACAGAATCCCATTTACTGACTAAAGTTTTGATACTTTCGTTTATTTCTTTTGCGAATGTCGTCTCTGCATTAGATCCTAGTAACTCTTCACCGCCCTTTCTGATGTTTTGAATGCTCGGGTCGAGTTTTGCAGCTTCTTCTATGAGATCCTACGAAATGAAAACAATTAAATATAACTCGAGAGATCAATTTCAAATTTGACAAGAGTAAAAAAAAATAATTTCCTTTGAAGAACATTGAGGATTTGTTCCAGACTAACCTGAGATCTCTGAAGGTGAGACTGCAAGGCCGAGAGAGGCAAATTAGCTACTTTCTCATGTGCTAAGAAATCCTCCGCCTGCTGGAGCCAAGCTTCTACATTCTGCACTTCATCCTTCAGCTGTTGGATTTTTCCAATGTCTACAAAAAAGTCAAACCATAAATTAAAGACTGTAGCAGTAATTTACCTGAAAAGCTACATTAAACCGTAAGTACTCTACAGATGATAAGTCTTTGAGCTCAGAATGGGAGGGTTGTTAGTGTTTGTTGTATAAAGACAAAACAAGAGGGGTGAATATATAAACACAAGACCAAGATTTGAACCTATCCCGTTAAAAACATCAAAGCCACTAACATTTCTGTTAAGTAAATCTGTTTACATATTTTGTAATTACATATAGGTGATCATTACTTTAAAAAGATTTGTTTTAGCGGTGCATAAAATACACGTTGTAACTATTGATATGGTTGGATGAACGTGTCATCTACCACGTTACTCTGACCTTTACCTTAAACCTTACACTTAACTTTCTCAAAGAATGTACAGGTCTTTCAGCAATAAAGAGTTTTTATTTGTTTTCGTGGACAGACACAGAGTTCAATTAAATTAATTGAATGGAGTTAGTTTCGTTACTGACCAGTTTGCAGTTTGGTCCTGCGCTCCACCAGTATCCGAGGTATATCAGCCCATCGAGTGTGAAGGTCCTGCAACTCCTCTCTGAGTCGCTCACTCGGAGCTCGCATCATTAACTCCTCACCTGCAGCCTTCACCTGGTCATAGCCCTCCTGCTGGGCTGAGATGTTCTTTTCCAACTCCTACAACAACCAAACATAACCATTATACGAGTTATATCAGCCCATCGAGTGTGAAGGTCCTGCAACTCCTCTCTGAGTCGCTCACTTGGAGCTCGCATCATCAACTCCTCACCTGCAGCCTTCACCTGGTCATAGCCCTCCTGCTGGGCTGAGATGTTCTTTTCCAACTCCTACAACAACCAAACATAACTATTATACGAGGTATATAAGCCCAGCGAGTGTGAAGGTCCTGCAACTCCTCTCTGAGTCGCTCACTTGGAGCTCGCATCATCAACTCCTCACCTGCAGCCTTCACCTGGTCATAGCCCTCCTGCTGGGCTGAGATGTTCTTTTCCAACTCCTACAACAACCAAACATAACTATTATACGAGGTATATAAGCCCAGCGAGTGTGAAGGTCCTGCAACTCCTCTCTGAGTCGCTCACTTGGAGCTCGCATCATCAACTCCTCACCTGCAGCCTTCACCTGGTCATAGCCCTCCTGCTGGGCTGAGATGTTCTTTTCCAACTCCTACAGCAAGTAAACATAACTTTTTTTATCAGTATATTAGGTATATCAGTTTATTGGTGGGAAATATATGAAAAACTTACAAAATCTTCTATCAGTTCAATAGTCTACATTTAATCCCATCGCAATCCGTATGGAGTATTCTTCTAACCTACCTCAAACAACACTGATGAATTAAAGGCTGCCTACATCACCGTAATCGCAGTGTCATTTTTTACGACCACATATGAACTCCAACTGTTATACACACTTTCTACGTCCAAACACTTTACTTCATTCACGTCCCATTAACAGGCAATGGAATTGAATGTTGGTTGATGTCTTAAAATTTCTTTGTCATAAAGGTAGAATAGTAGTTGATGAAGTAAGAAACACAGTGTTTGTCTCAGTTTTGAACTGACTGGGGGAGCTCGTTAAGACCTTAATTTACAGACAAGCTTTGTAGAGGAGAAAGGCAATTAGGCAGCATTTTTTTTCTCAAGTACAGGTTTGAAAAGATTACTTTGCACACACAACATTACCTGAAACTTGACAAGTTGTTCTTCCATGGACTGTGGGTAGGTGAGCACAACATGTTCTGACAACAGTATCCCCTCCACATCGTCCATCCACCTGGTCAGGTTAGTCTTGGCTTCCGTGTACTTGGCCTGTGGACTTGGCTCACTCAGCTCTTGCTCTAGAGCTACCAGCCTGTAAGACAGAACAATGTGTCACTTGCAAGGTATAGACTACTGGGATGTAATGGTCTACGATTTGAATGAGTGAATACAATAATTGGCTACAGAGACTAAGTATGCTTTCCAAATCTGGCATTCTCTTATTTATATTAAAAATATCTGCTAAGATAGCAATCAAAACAATTTGAAAGCATTACTGTAGTAATTTTTTGGGGTATTCAAGATGGACAATTTTTTTCTTGTTCCCTTCCTTGTGGGGAAGGGGGATTTTGACACAAGAATCTTATGAATAAGGTCATTGTCATAAATCTGTAACATTTTCACAAAAGCCAAAAATTTGAAATAATGCTGCAAGATGATCATTATGTTGCCATAATCACTTCCAAAAGTAATTGTTCTATTGATCTATTTTAAATTGCTCATGATACAAGTGTACTCTTTACAAAATAGTGTATGGTGTGTAGCCTGTACGATTTACAAATTTACTGCTAATGATTAACAAAGTATAAAATATTAGGAAAGTAACATAAATGCCTTACAAAACAGAAAATTTCCTCACTGTTCCTAGTAAGTGGTAGGTGTATTTATATAAATAAAACATTCATAGAAGAGTTTTCCCTTTAAAGGTTGATAGGGACCGAGAGTTTAGCATTAAAAGGATTAACATCACTTGCCTGTTGTAGACAGCACCGATGTCTGAACTTAGACTTTCAACCTTCTCCTGGATAGTCTTTGATTCCTCCGAGTCAGGATAACGGGAACAGAAATTTGTTGTCTTTTCCTGCAGGGATGTGAGCCTGTCTTCCTGGGACTTGAGAGATTGAATTTTCGCCTGAATAATTGTAATCGTGGTTTTATTAATGAATATACTAAGCATAATAGAAATATCCATATATAATATTATTTATCACGATTACTAGAAAAATACCGGTATGGATCATAAACATAAACAAATTACGTTTTTGGCCCGAATCCTATACTAATAGCATTAACATATGGTTTAGACAATTCCATTTAAACAATGTTTAATAATGTTTACTTTCGGGCCAAAAATGTCATTTGTTTATGATCCATACCGGGTATTTTCTAGTATACGTGAAATTTATCTACTTTCAGGCCGAGTATTGATTTCAATAACTTAAATTAAGGAACAAAAATTTCACAAAAACCAAATAATGAAAAAAATCTATGTTGTGTGTTACAAAAGTTCTAATCAGAAGTTTTTAGAGGGAGCGAGCTGGTCTAGTGGTTAGAGCACAGGACTTTGGGTCCCTGAGGTCCCGGGTTCAAATCCCGCCAAATCACCAATGGATTTTATCTAAATGATGCCGCAAACCCTAAGTCTAGCCTGAAGTAATGTGAAAGACAATTCCAGGCTTGTGCCTAGCGTTCTAGGACAATAAAATTATCTATTAATTATTGAGTTCTGACAAATTTATCTTCTTTCAGGCCGAGTATTGGTTGTAATGACTTGTATCAAGGAACAAATTTTTCCACTCAAACCAAATAACGACTAAAAATGTATGCTGTTTGTTACAACAGTGTATATATATTTTTTTCACTAGTAAATATTTCTAGGGTATTTTAAATTAAATCTATTAATTTAATAATATCTCTTATTTCCAATATAAAATACAAGTAAAGTGAAGCATTTCCAATTTTACTAAGAAATTTTCATATTAAAAACTGTTAAAAAAGCAATACAGAAACTAAAAAAATCTGTTAACTTACTGAACAGACATCGATATTGTGACCATCAGTCGCAGACAGCCACTGGTTATACTCTTCTATCAGCACAACTGCACTGGCTATCTCTTTCTCTATCAGGCCTCTCTGATCCACCTCCTCTGTTTTGTGTTGCAATGTTACATCCATGTGTTCATAGCTCTTCGTCAACTCTGACAACCGTTTTTCTTCTTCTTCTGGAGAGCCTCCCTCTGTTATAAACATCAAGTGAATAGTTTTAATAATGTTTCATTATCATGGTTTGAAATGTGTACATCTTATGGACACCTAAGGCAGTTATCTATCCAACTATTATTATTATTTATTATCCAACTACGGTGATAAAAACATAGTAGTTGCGGTTATTACACTTTCTAATTCAAATGTAAACCTGGCATAAATGTGAAACCAAAATACAAAAATATACACAACAAACAAAGGGAACTAAATCAAACCCCCAGTTACCCAGACAGGCCACCATACCAGTAATGATCTCCTGTATGCGTGTGTGTGCGAGCCTGGTGATGTTGTCCAGAGTGGTTCTCCTCTGCAGCCACTCCTCCCTGGCTCTCCGTAGCACCTCACTGTCACTGTGACTCTGCAGCTGCTGCAGTGTGTTCTGCAGCCAGTCACGCAGCATCTCCATACCTCTGTCCAGCTCTGTCTGACCAGCCTCCACCTTCCTCCTCTTCCAACTACCTTGGCCCTGCAACCATAACAACACTGTTGTTAACCAATCAAACTACTCTTGATTAGTTTTAGAATTCTTTCCACCCAAATGAAAAAACGAAAACATAAATTACGAGAAATAAAAAGCCGTTCATGTGGAATGTAAGAAGTTGGCCTACCACACATTTTCATCCTTAGTTCTGTGTTAGTTCCATGTTTCATAGTTAGTTCTGTGTTGGTTCTCAATATTTCCGAACATTTTTTTTATTTCTGAAATAGGAAGTCCGTTGAAAGGATGATTCAGATGTTAGGGCAAAAAACCTCTTTACACTTTAACGTATAGGATGCGGAATAAAATTTATATATTTTAGAAGCAATAGTAGATTAGTTATTATAAATTATTATTAGTAGTTATTAGTTATTAATGTTATTATTAGTTCATATCTATTTTAGTTATGAAAAGTCTTACATCTTCAGAAGGTGATGTTTCCTCCCAGGCCAGACTGGTGCTGATGGTTGTAGAACTGTCACCAACCACAGGAGTCACTTCAAACCCAGAGCTCGAGATCTGTTGAAGTTATAAAACATTACATTAAAAAAGGGCAAAACTTATTGATCTTGAAATTTATTATGTGTAAAAGTAAGAATACCAGGTATGCTAACTGAATTCCACGTTAACTGTGCACAACAGAATTCACGTCTTATGAAAAATTTTCTATTACTGGAAACATCATTTTTATTGTAATTGAATTTACGTCAACTGTCCTCAAAACCCTCGTTTTTAAGACAATTTACAAGCACCAACTTTAACGCAGGGATGAAGTGTCTAGACATTACTCACTCTCTGACTCTGCATCTCCAGTATGAGCACCAGAGCGTCCCAGCGGTCCTGCAGAGCCTCTATCTGCTCAAGGTCACGGCCGCCCTCTGGAGGACGCATCCGCAGACTCAGCTCTGTAGCTGCATCTTGTATCCCCGTAAGCCGCTTCTGCTGGGCGTCCATTTGTTGACGCATTATCTGAGTGAATGACATATTGAAAATTCTGTGTGACACAATGAGAACAGCCTAATAGCTGATTTAATAAATAAACACTCCATGTCATACGACTAACTTGCGTACTGCTTGTTTTTGGTACAGCTTGTGTACTATACCTGAAGCTGTTTGATCCGGTCGAGTATTGCACCCATCTCTGTCGCCGGCTCCGCCTCCATCTGTTTGAGTGTTGTCTCCTTGGTGAGCAGCCACTGTTGTAGCCAGCTGACCTGGTCCATCAGCTGACTGGCCGAGGTGATCAGCTGTTGCAGCAGACCCCAGCGTTCCTCTGACCACTGGCAGATGTGTTCCCACCTCTCCCCCAGCGCTGCCAGCTGGTCTTCCATCGCTGAGTAGGCTGGAGTAGAAAGAGAATGTTATATTAGGTACTAGTTGTATATAAATCCTTGAATGATTAGTTGAAGAACTTAAAATAAGGGTAAATAAATACTTGTTTTTTAACAACCTAATTAGGAAATTAATTTTATAGTGATTGTTTTGCGATATGTCCATTGGATTAAAATGGATGCAGATGCCATTTGTCATTGGAACACCAATAAATATTATACTTTCTAACAAAGTGTCAACATTCTAACAAGTCAAGGATTAGAACTGTTCCTTTAAAAACAAATTCCATTGGCATGGGAAAAAACACAAAAAAACAGTTGGAATCAGGGTTGCCATCTTCGGTTAGAGAAAAATTAGGACAAGCCCTTTTCCCCTCAGGATAAACACAGGCAACAGGACTGTTCTGGCTGGACGGGTGGCAACCCATCTTGGAATTGAATAAACAATCAGAACTTGTATAATGTATAGGCTACTTACAACTGTCAGCAGTAGTGTCATCAACAACAATGACCAGGTTGCAGAGGGAGTCCACTGTCTTCTGTTGTGCCTGTAGGTCGTCTCGCAGTGCGGCAAGTGCCTTCTGTTGCGCTTGTAGGTCAGTCAGGTCGGGCCCCACTTGTGACATGCGAGATATGCGATCCTCCGTCGCAGTCAGCCACTCTCGCAGACGATCTAGCTGCTTCTGCTGAGCCGACATCAGCAACGAGTGGATGCTGGAACATATTACATGGGCATTAATGATCATCACTACCATGGAAAGTAAAAAAATAAAATCTTTTGTTAAGTTCAAGGTTGGTGATGGTGAGTTTGTTGAATGTTATTGGAAACATTTTCCCTACTGATTAGTAAAACAGAAATGTCACCTTGTTTCAGCATCTGCAATCTAACGCTGTGTTCAGGGGAGGAGAAGCCTATAACATAACATGATCAGTACACAACACTGGAAGTGCTAGGAAATACAATTGTTTAGAGCAGCCAATATCAATTACACAGTAGCTTGAGTCATTGATTGCCTCCTTCTTATCTGGACTCCTCAGGACCGAGGCCAGTTCAGAGAACGGTTTTTCTGGTTAAACCGAGATCCCATAAAACCCGTTAAATTAGGAACATCGACTAACAATAGGCCTACTTGTGCAAGCCACGGAAATCACTCAAAAACTAACCCAAGTATTTTACTTAAATTTGGAAACAAATTGTATTTAGAAATGTGATCACTGGTCTCAAATCTTTTATCTCAAAAAGTTGTTTCAGTACCGACTACTTCCTGCCGATCCAGTCCGGTTCAACCAATATTGCTGATACAAAATAACCATTTAAAGAGATGTCACTTCTTCCAAGCGTAGTATGGTTAAACGGATTTCCGGTTAAAAGGTGTCCGGGTAAGAGGAAGTCTACTTTATATATATAATTTTTGTTTATTTGATTTATTTTTTCTTGCTTATTTTCCACTTGTACTTTTCTAAGTATTTTTTTAGTGTGTTTTTCACCAGCTCATGTTATTATTGTCATGTTGTAGGTTTCTTCCTGTTCGAAGAGTCAGATTCAAAGATCCTAAATGTAAATAATAAAAGTTGTTTTCAACAGTGTGTACCTTGCTTGTTTCTCCATTGCCTTGAGTCGCAGAGCCTCCCAGCGAGAGTTGAGCAGTCTCATCTGTACTCTGACCTCCTCCTCCTCGTCTCTAGTCAGCCCTCCCTCGGACAACATACGAGCTCCTTCCTCCAGCACTGCCCCCACACCTTCCTGGTGACCCGACAGCTCCAGCAGGAAACCCTACAACCAACAATAACAAGCTTTAGACGTCAACGTTCACAAAATGTCACTGACTACACTGGAGGAAGTAAGAGATTACATTATAGGTTGGCAGAAATTTTGACAACTGTGCAAGCTTAAATCTCTGGAATAAGAGGATTAGGTAGACCTGTAGTCTCATTGGGTGGCTCTTGAAAATAGAAGACTTGATAGTTGATATTATTACCATCAGAAGAAACTGAAAAATGATCGTTGTGTCAATTTGAAAACCCAAGAGTCAAATACAGTGGCACAAATACAAGCTGATTACTGATTGGGCACAGGGTGTAGGACATTTTTAGGAACTTTGTACCTTGCGTTCAAGTTTCATAAACAGTGTAGATGTTAAAAAAAAGATTATACCTCAACCAATATGGAATTGCCTAGTTTAGCGGTGTGCATAGGCTATGAAAGCTGTCATTATTTATATTTTCTACTGTCATTGGAATATTTTTATGATTTTGTGAGGGGAAGATCCAAACGCCGGTCTTGTTGCCATTCAGTTTTGAACTTTTGTTAAATACTACCATTAATTGTAGCCCAGTGACTAATGGCATCTCGGTATGGAAAAACTAGTAGTTTAAATTAAAAACTAACTAGGCCCTGAAAGGTTTAGGAACAGAGAAACTGAATATACCATTTTACATTTGTTTTCAGTTATTATCTGTGTTATCCACCCTTACCGTGATCAATTTTGGTTTGCTTATCAAGACTACTGTATGAATATTAGTTTAATGAATCTTGAAATATAGAAGGTAAAGGTAATGATTAGAAGTCAACCACACACACACACACACCTCATGTGAATGGAAGTGTTCCTTGATAGTTTCCAAGTCAGTACTTCCCAGAGCCAGGTCGTGGCTTAGTCTGTCCTCCGCCTCCAGCAGCCAAGTCAGCACCTCCTCCATGGCTACTTGGTAGCCCCCCAGCTCTACGGAGGCATTGGTAGCCAGACTGTGGGGCCTGGAACTGCGGGGCTCAAGCTCCCCCATAGCACCCTGCAATAAACACACTAGATCAGTTATGTTTATCTATATGACCTCAAGAATCAAACCAGACACAAGAGTAACCAAACTTCCACTTGCAATTTACGTGAGGAAAGTTATAAAAGAACAGCTGAAAGTTATATCTAACATTTTCTGAAACAAGGGAGTCAAGTTTATTACTTCTTCACTTGGGTAGTTGGTCAGTGTTACCAGTGCAGTAGACAGTTAGATCTGGTTAATGGTTGAGCGATTTATGGTTGGTCGAAGGTTCACGTCGGAAATGCGATAAATGATGATAAGAACAATTAGAGCAGAGATGCTAGTAGGGAGTAGTGCTCTGCATCCATCCGCTGTTCATATCTGGGCCGGGAACTTACACTGAAAGGTTGATTCATGATTGTGTTTTGTTAAAACTGAGTTTGTGTTGAGAGATTCTGAAGATTTTATTTTAGCATCAAATGCAGTAAAGTATTCTTTACTAGGAGAACCTGAGAGGTGACAGATAGTGAAGTGAGTTCGGAGGTGAGTTGCCGTGTCAGTGTGTGGAGGTGACGGATGACTCAAGATGAGAAGAGATGATTGAGATGTCCTGCGGACTACAAATATCTGGGAGCTGGGAACGCTGACATCTTGGGGACTGACTGGCCAAGAGGAAAGACAGAAAGAGAGGCGAGAGGAGTGAGATAAACTTGTAGAAACAAGTGTACACATAGGGTAGGGATTTCAATGTTTGCGAGATAGGAAAGACTCCAAGGAAGACGAGACGACTAGGGCAAGGCGAAGTTAACAAAATAGTTTAAGTCAATGTTTTCATTCTGAGCTACACCTCCTAAATTTGCGACACCTCAAGGGTTAGGGTCGACTTGACAATATCCGTAGTCAAACGTTACAATTCATGTTTATCTCTATCCCAGCTTGGTAAATCTTGGAAAACTTGTCAATCAAGACAACTATCAGATATGTTTACCTCGAATGTGGTTGCTGGAGAGGCCAGTGAGCTGCTGGAGTCTGACTGGAGAAACTCCAGACTGGAGACTTCCAGCGTGGAATGAGGCAGTGACTGGAACAGACACATGACGTACATCATGACGGACTTCTTGTCTGGGACGGACGTGTTCACATCTGTAACATACACAAATCAATGTAAAGGTCATTCACAATCAATCCTTACGGTCTTTGACCACCAAACTATCTACGATTAAGTAAGTGCTTTCCAGCACACACAAGATAGTAGATCGCAAATTCTTATTTAGCTCTCCCCACAGTAACCAACCCTATTATTAGACATATAGAAAGCTTTATTTAAATAATCTACGACATTTCCACAATATGAAAATATGTTTCTGTAACAAATTTCTAATATCTACCACTTGTTAAATCATTGATATTGGAGAAACTGTATCATTTACTTACTTTATGCTACTGTGCACTGCAAAAACAAATTTAGGGGTAGAAAATATGAAAATGAAACTATCTTTCTTTTAATCCTTTTGCCTTGTACACATGATTTCAGCATATTAGGTCCAACAACAGTCCCAATTAAACGTTCTTTACAATCACTTACATTATGAGTATACAACAATAACGTTTTCATATATTTTACCTAAGACCAATTTTTTAAACTAGCCGTTTCAGTTTAGTTCTTAGAATTGAAAAGATTCACTTAACAGCGTTGTTTACTTACTTAACAGCATTGTTGTTTTACTTTACAAAACGAGTAACGGACCAATGAGGTTCAAGGAAATTTTAGTACTTCAAATGTCAACTTATCAGCTGTTTAAACCAATTTAACTGATTAAACAATGAGTGAGCGGTTGGGACAATAAGTCATTGCACTACAATCAGTGGCTGTGAGAGGTTATAAACAAAAAAATACCCTCTCTTGGAAGTTACTAGTAGTGATTTTTTGTGATTAAGAAACGGTCGTAGGTAAAGTAGTGTACACAACTTGTGTAATTAGTCTTACACAATCGTTGCATAAACTAATATTAAGACTAAATTAATGGGAAAATAAAATGCAAACCTTCAGGATCAAGGAGTCTTTCGATTGCAAATTGCTCTTGAGCGACGCGGAATGCGTGATCCAACCTGGCATTTGGATGTCGGCGAGTGACATTTCCAAAATCAAATAGATCCGGTCTGAAATGATGAAGTAGTGCGTTGAATGCCAACCCGTCCGACCATGACGTGGTGAAGTTCCTGACATCCACGCCAGAGTAGTTCTGAAACAACACAATAGTTTTTTATTGCTCTCATAAACATACTCTGTTAGAAATACACGATAATAACTAGACCAAGAAAAGAAGGAATGAGTCAGACAACTTTATCGCTTACTTAATGGTTTACCTGTTCAAACTTCATAATCTGCCGGGATTTTATTTAAAATAAAAAGATAAAATAGTAGACTATGTATAGACCTACTAAATTTGAATGAATGAACTACCATAAAAGCTATCTGTTTCTTCAACTGCAATAAGCCTTCAGAGTACAGTAGTTGGTGAAATTAAATACGATCATTCTTGAAAATATACAAAATGTGACACTTCAACTTCAACAGATTGTAAATTAAATAAAGTTAAAAAAAAAAAAAAAAAAAAAAACTTCTAAACAAAATGCAAAGTAATTAATAAACACATTTAGTTACACTGGGCAAGTGACCAGTTAAACAGGTTGCACAGATTTGCATGTTTTTTAAAGCAGTAAATAAAATAAGGCAGATTATGTCACTGTTTCTCTATAGAGAGGTCGGAAGAATGTATCCCTAGAGTAAAGTCTTAAGAATATTTCTCTAGAGACAGGTGTTAAAAACACATCTCTGTAGAGAGGTGTTAAGAATGTTTCTCTGGTGAGAGGTCCTAAGAATATTTCTCTAGAGGGAAGTCCTAAAAAGATTTTTCTAGAGAGACGTCTTAAGAATATTTTTCTAGAAAGACGTCTTAAATCCATTTCTCGAAATAGAGGTCTTAAGAATATTTTCCTAGAGAGAGGTCTTTAAGAATATTTTTCTAGTGAAGCGTGTTACTATAGTTTATAGCAACGGTACTGGACTCATAAGGATCGTTAAGGCTCAATATAATCAATCTAGTGTTGCTAGCGACATTCTGAGTTGAATAATAATGATCTTAAATTAATTACTGAGCCAAACCACATCCATATCACAGCCATTTTGATGATATAATATTATTAATGCATCTAATTATTAATATAATAAGGAAAAGAACACTGAAAACTTCCACTCGTACCTTATGGGTACGAGTGTGTTCTAAAGTATAATTTACATATCAAGCTGAAATAATTTGTAGTTCCCTTAAACCCCCCTTTTACTGAAAAGTTAGAACATATTCGTAAATCTCTTAGACTAAGGAAAACTTATCAATTCGGCGATGGAGTCCAGCCTTGACCATCGAAGTCCGTCCACACGGTCTTGAATCCGGAACACGACTCCGACGCCCTCCCCGCGCTTCATCCCCCCCCCCCAAGTTCTCCAGCGATCAGCTGACTGACCGTGACGCGTCTTTGCAGTGACCCGAGCGTCACACTAGGGAGAGGTACGAAGAATATTTCCCCAGAGAGATATCCTATACTTCTCAAGAGAGAGGTTCTATGATTATTTCTCTAGAGAGAGGCCCTAAGAATATTTCCCCAGAGAGATATCCTATACTTCTCAAGAGAGAGGTTCTATGATTATTTCTCTAGAGAGAGGCCCTAAGAATATTTCCCCAGAGAGATATCCTATACTTCTCCAGAGAGAGGTTCTATGATTATTTCTCTAGAGAGAGGCCCTAAGAATATTTCCCCAGAGAGATATCCTATACTTCTCAAGAGAGAGGTTCTATGATTATTTCTCTAGAGAGAGGCCCTAAGAATATTTCCCCAGAGAGATATCCTATACTTCTCAAGAGAGAGGTTCTATGATTATTTCTCTAGAGAGAGGCCCTAAGAATATTTCTCCAGAGAGATATCCTATACTTCTCCAGAGAGAGGTTCTATGATTATTTCTCTAGAGAGAGGCCCTAAGAATATTTCCCCAGAGAGATATCCTATACTTCTCCAGAGAGAGGTTCTATGATTATTTCTCTAGAGAGAGGCCCTAAGAATATTTCCCCAGAGAGAGATCCTATACTTCTCCAGAGAGAGGTTATATGATTATTTTTCTAGAGAGAGGTCTTAAATCCATTTCTCTATAGAGAGGTCCCACTGTGGTAGCTTTCATGTTTACCTGAGTATTTTGTCTGCACCATGCCAACAATGTCTTCTCCAGGTTGGTTTGTTGCAGCTCTGACATGAGGTCCTTCAGGTGGTAATGTACCTAAGCACAAACATTTTCATTTCAATGCCAACTACATTTCCACTCACCATTTCACTTACTGTATTGGACAGATTTTAATGTGCGACTGCTAATTAGTTATATTCTACAATTTGCTGTTGGGTTTTAATGTTTACAATGTGGAATCAAATATCTAAGTAACTACAAGTTTCTAATTAGCTTTTTAAAAGGATAAACTGCTGTTTTAATTTAACATGAACTATGTAAACTAATTAAACTCTGGGATAGATGATTTTATTTGAAACTGTGGCCTCTCCCAAAAAAGAGCTAGCGTCAGAAAATCCAAACCTGGATGGATGGAATTTAACCAAACAAAAACAGCATTTTAATAATTGATAAGTTTTATAAACATTAACTAATTGGATTAGCTGGTGGCCCACATACATAATAAAATCATTTTAAAACATGTAATAGGAATTATCATTTTCATCAGTTGATTTCAATTTTGACAAAGGCTAGTTGGTAAATTTTTAACCAAGTAATTAATAAATACATTTTATTACTGACTCTTGAACTAAAGAATTGTTAGTTTTAAACTTCTATCTAATTTCTTACCTGCCAATGGAGAATGATGCTCCATACCAGGCCTAGAATCAGTTTTGGGTTGCCATCTACAATGTCGTTACTGCTAATATTTACAAGTTTTACCTGAAAAAAAAAAACAAAACGAAAGAGTTAACATTTTTCACCAAACACTGTAGTCTTCTGTAAGCAATTAGTTTTACAAGGTCCGATGCTCTCTATTTGAGTAAAATAGTTTAATTTCTTATTAGGAAACTATTATTAAAATCACAGTTGATAAAAATCACCTAATGGTATGTACAATTAGTTCACCTTCATTTCTCTAAGCACTTGACTTGCATTAAAGTATTTAAAGTCAAACTGTAATACCAGAACCAGCAGTAATCATAATGAAATAGGAATAATTAATTGTTGAGTTATTTGCGCAACTGGTTATTAAATAATGCAGTGATTATTTATCCAATTATCTGATCATTTTGAAAGTTAAGGTAAGGTTATGCCTAAGTTTAACTTTTATGATACAGTAGGTACCAATGAAACTAGAGGCCCTACTAGAAAAAAGGTCATGCTGCAGCACAGGGAGGTGCAACAATACATCACAGTCGTGGACAGTTGTACTTTGGTTGTACTTGTACTAAAGTTGCCAGACGTAAACAGCCAGCTTATTTACCTTAAACATATGGGACATGGCAGTGAATCTATCCACAAGTGTGACGTCATAGATTCTACAGCATGGCCTTTTTTCTAGTTGGACCTTGACTACAATGAATTTTTTTTAAGAAAACAGGAAGTAAACTACATCTTTAACATAAGAATGCTTAAATGTTACTTACATTATTATGTTCTAAGACCTGAAGTGCTCGATTTACGTTGTTCAAGTGATGTACTCGCATCCGACCTTTTTCTCTTTTCTGTAAAAAGTAACAATTATCAGCAAGTCTACTTATTTAGTTACGTATTAAAAGGAAACCACTAGAGACATGTAAGAAACATATATTAGTAAGGTATGTAATGTTATGAGCAAAACAAACAAGATTTTAAAGTTTGTATTAAACACCTACTTAGTGAGTGAATTCAAAATCCATGCAATTTAAATATCATAAATTTAATTAATTTTTGATTAAAAATATATATATATTTATTTTATTTTTCCAGAAATAAAGTTGATTTTCAGATTAACAATAAATGTTCACCATAGACAAACCTAATTCTATTCAAGAATACTGTTCTATGTTTTCTTAAGATAACATCCAATACCAAGTAGTTGATAAGAACTTATAAAATTACAAAAAAAAATCAGCGTAACAAGTGACCATGGTGGAAGGAAGACAAGTGACAACAATAAGCATTGGTCATAGATTTTCAAAGATGTTTTCCTTTTAAAGACAAACAGACACTGGGAACAACGTGGCTTTATGTTACTGTACTTTGCCTCGAAATTAGATGAGTAAACAAATCTAAGGAAGTGTCATGTTTACACAAACCCACACCATAGCATGTGAAAAGGTTTTGAAGAAGTTTGTTCCTCTCTTTCTACCAAAATATGATTTGAGCTACAGAAGATGACATAATATAAGATAAAATTATAATCAAAACAACAACATTTGCTGCGCTTATATGTAAGTGATACCTATTACCTAACTTCTTAAGTTTTTCATAATATAATGGCCTTGAATTTGCATACAGTGTATTTATTGTAGATCTAGTTTTACATGAATATATTTGTGAACTAAAAGTTTAATGTTCCAGACTCCAATATTGTGTTATAACTAAATTTAAAGTTGTGAAAAAAATTGCAGGTTATAGCTTAAGAATTATGTAAACAAAGATTATGTAGCCTTTAAGCAGGAAAAATGAACATTTAACCTATGAAAACAAAGCAAAGCAAGAAATTTGTTGACAATGCAGCCATATTTTAAGAAATCAAGAGATTCCAGCTGGCCTAGGCCCAAGATTTATTCATCTTTTGGCAGAAACTGTAAACATAATGTCTTTGTTTAAGTGTGTCCACAGTGGAAACGAACAAGGTCAACATACAAAATGTGTAAAAATAATACCAGAGATCAAAATTTGAAGACATTGCTATGAACAATGTAAATGAAACGGGAGAAAAAGAATTAGATACACATTACATTTGGTTGTGCATAAGACATTGAATAGTGTAAATAACTCAATACATAAATTTAATATTTGTCATAGGGGTACAGTTTTTTTTAAATATATGTATTAGGTAATCAAATACAATCTAAAATACAGCGTTAATAAAAAGTCTGGAGACCCCCTGTAAATTTTGTAAAGGCTCACACTAGAAAAACTAAACTCTGCACACCTTTATGGCATGTTTGAAGTACTTTTTGAGCCTAATTGCTACTTGGTTCGCAAACCCAATATGGGGGAGTTCGGTGGAATCTCAAAAATTTAAAATGTTAAGCCCCATCGAGTGACCTCTCATTTTGAAGGTTGTGATAAAAGAAAACTAACAACGCGAACTAGATGTCTCTATCTTAACCCAGTAAAATATGGCAGTCAATTAAAATGTTATGTAAGGAAAATTGTAAGTTTATTCTGATTTCTAAAGATTTCAATTGACTGCAATATTTTACTGGGTTAAGATAGAGAGACCTCTAAGTTGCGTTGTTAGTTTTCTTTTATCACGACCTTCAAAATGAGGGGTCACTCGATGGGGCTTAACATTTAAAATTTTTTAGATTCTCCCAAAATCCCCCATTTTGGGGATGTACACGAGGTGGCGGTTATGCCCAAAATGTACTTCATAACATGCCATAAAAGTGTGCAGAGTTTAGTCTTTCTAGTATGTACCGTTAAAAAATTTACAGGAAGTCTCCAGACTTTTTATTAACCCTGTATATTATTTTAATAGAAGGAGAAATATTTTCCTTGAAGGCACTTACGTATTGCTTCCCTGTAAGGATTTCCAGGAGTGCCAACAGTCTGGTCCCATCTTGCAGGTCCACAAACAGGTCGTTAATTAAGGAACAGTTGCTCTGAAACAGGCCGATTGCCATCACTTTTAGACCACATTATGTTTCATCTTTTAGTTTCATATTTTTAATAAAGGTCCTGTAATTGTTTGTTATGCCTAACTAGCTGTTGCCCACGGGCTTCAGCCCGTTTGACTTCAAAACTATTAAACTAGAAGAAGAATCAATCTACTAAACTATTGGTTGGTTAAAAGCTTAAATGAACAAAACAGAATACAGTAATACAAATAAATAATCACACCTTATTTTAATAAGGTAATAAATTGAAAAAATAACAAGTACAGCTGAGATATTTTTAACATTAGGTGTATGGAAAGATTCCTTTAGAAAGGAATTACGACCTCAAAGGGCAATTTATGAAATAATTTTGCTTAATTACACACCGATATACATTTCATGTTATTCATGACTTTGGAAAATACAATATCCAAATATATAAGTTTATCAGTTAGTCATAAATTTGATTATTTATTCGAGTGTTTCTGGGCGAATTAGACATAAAGTGCAGTTGAGTTGAAGTGGGGTTGAAAAACTGAGGTTTGACTATAGATATTGTGAAATCAAATTTAATTCCCACGTAAAAGTTGTACCGGTAGCAATTTTAGGAAAAAGAACCTCATTAAATTGTATCATTGACAGAGGTTGAATAGTTATCTTTCTTAAAACAGTTTTTTAAACTTTTATGAACTGTAATGCACATTTTGGTGATTTCCTTCTCTCCTCAGCAAACGATTTCCCCATGTTCATCTTCAGTTTGTGAACACATACAGTTTATAAGCTACAAACTTAGCAGTAATTTTAGCACTTAACAGTAACTTTATAAGTAAAAAAATAATCCCTAAGTATCCACATTGACAGGACAATAATTATACAGAGTATCGTTTTTAACTGACAAATGTGATAAAACCCACCTTGACTAGTTGAGAATTTATCCACTTTGCGAAAGTTTTCTTTTGGACATCCTCCCGTTCATCTGAAACAAGAAAAAGGTTTAGAAACAAAACACAAATACAATTAAAAAATAAATCAAAACGATGTACAAAACAACAAAAAGTATTGTAATATAGGAATGAGTTATTTTACGATGATTATTTACCGTATCCTCAGTTTTTCTACGGTATAGTCCCATCCAAAAGTATTATAACATTATTAAATTCAAATTCCTTTGTACCCCAATGAGTAACTCTGTGATTCTTGAATCTCTTAATTATACACAACATTTGTCTGCAACATCAATTTCTGTGTTTTCAAATATATGATACTGAACTAATAAGTAAACAATTCAAACATAATTCAAAGGTTTGATGAACACTACAGTATCCCTCATTGTAAGAAAAACTTTCTGTCACTTGTCTTGGTGAAATATAATATAGGATGCTATGGTGGAATCAAAAGGTTAACTCCAAGAAAAGTAAACAAAAAACTAAAATAAAAACAAATCTAACAGCTGATGTATCTTCAATATTTTAATATGATTAAATACAGAACTGTAATTAAGGTTTCTGCCCTTAGGAGAAGGTTTATCGAAAAACTTATATTTTCGGGGAAGTTTCACATGAAGACCTTCCATTCAAGTACGTAGTTGATAGGTGTACAGCTTATGGTATTCTCAAAAGTTCAGATCCTTCTTAGCTTTGTAGAATAACTAAACACTATGGTGGAGGGATGCAGTTCCTCCGTAGTGACGCTAGCAGACGAAGCTGTGTCTTGTGTCTGTGTGGGTGTAGAGTGTACACAGACATAGCTGTAGTGTGAGTGTAGGCGTTAACGGAAGTGCTCTTTCAAACTGTTCAGGACAAGCTACGAGCATTGTTTGACTACAACTTGACAAGCTTCCGCCTTGCAAGATACGTGAATGCTCAGTCCTGCGAACTGTGAGCATTCGAGCATCCTCAGCGAGAGTCACGAACTATACCTTGGCAATAGATAACTGAGGATATCATATTATTTTTTGTAACGTCCTCTGGACAGTAAGAACGGGCGAGTAAGATACCGCTAACCTTGTCTCACTTGGTCTTCCTTGACAGCGAGCGGCTGATGTGTGCAGGAGGAGAAAGTAATATAAGTGACATATGTAATAGTATTGTTTAGTTATACGCTATAATTTAACCTATTACCAGGAAGCTAAGGACCGTTAATGACTACAATTGCGAAGTAATGATATTTACCATTATTGTAAGAGAATACAGTACAACTCGTGCTATAGTTGTATTTAAAACGGTATGCTTCTGCCACATTCGACTGGAACAGGTCTTCAAAACTAGTCTACACCTATGACATACAAATGTAAACGTTGTAATGTGTTGTAGTGTAGCTCAAGACCTCCAATCCTACAATAAGTAAGAGGAACGACGACAGACTGCGAGTGACAGCAGATCGATCAACGATTGACCTGGTCTGATAGAGATCGGCAAACTACCTGAGGAAACCCTCACTATTTAATATACTACAATGTAGACGTTGTAATGTGTTGTAGTGTAGCTCAAGACCTCCAATCCTACAATAAGTAAGAGGAGCGACGACAGACTGCGAGTGACAGCAGATCGATCAACGATTGACCTGGTCTGATAGAGATCGGCAAACTACCTGAGGAAACCCTCACTATTTAATATACTACAATGTAGACGTTGTAATGTGTTGTAGTGTAGCTCAAGACCTCCAATCCTACAATAAGTAAGAGGAGCGACGACAGACTGCGAGTGACAGCAGATCTATCAACGATTGACCTGGTCTGATAGAGATCGGCAAACTACCTGAGGAAACCCTCACTCTTTAATATACTACAATGTAGACGTTGTAATGTGTTGTAGTGTAGCTCAAGACCTCCAATCCTACAATAAGTAAGAGGTGCGACGACAGACTGCGAGTGACAGCAGATCGATCAACGATTGACCTGGTCTGATAGAGATCGGCAAACTACCTGAGGAAACCCTCACTCTTTAATATACTACAATGTAGACGTTGTAATGTGTTGTAGTGTAGCTCAAGACCTCCAATCCTACAATAAGTAAGAGGTGCGACGACAGACTGCGAGTGACAGCAGATCGATCAACGATTGACCTGGTCTGATAGAGATCGGCAAACTACCTGAGGAAACCCTCACTCTTTAATATACTACAATGTAGACGTTGTAATGTGTTGTAGTGTAGCTCAAGACCTTCAATACTACAATAAGTAAGAGGAGCGACGACAGACTGCGAGTGACAGCAGATCGATCAACGATTGACCTGGTCTGATAGAGATCGGCAAACTACCTGAGGAAACCCTCACTCTTTAATATACTACAATGTAGACGTTGTAATGTGTTGTAGTGTAGCTCAAGACCTCCACAACTACAATAAGTAAGAGGTGCGACGACAGACTGCGAGTGACAGCAGATCGATCAACGATTGACCTGGTCTGATAGAGATCGGCAAACTACCTGAGGAAACCCTCACTCTTTAATATACTACAATGTAGACGTTGTAATGTGTTGTAGGTAGCTCAAGACCCACAATCCTACCATAAGTAAGAGGAGCGACGACAGACTGCGAGTGACAACAGATCGATCAGCGATTGACCTGGTCTGATAGAGATCGGCTAACTACCTGAGGAAACCCTCACTCTTTAATATACTACAATGTAGACGTTGTAATGTAGCTCAAGACCTCCAATCCTACAATAAGTAAGAGGAGCGACGACAGACTGCGAGTGACAACAGATCGATCGACGATTGACCTGGTCTGATAGAGATCGGCAAACTACCTGAGGAAACCCTCCCTCTTTAATATACTGCAATGTAAACGTTGTAATGTGTTGTAGTGTAGCTCAAGACATCCAATCCTACAATAAGTAAGAGGAGCGACGACAGACAGCGAGTGACAACAGATCGATCAACGATTGACCTGGTCTGATAGAGATCGGCAAACTACCTGAGGAAACCCTCCCTCTTTAATATACTGCAATGTAAACGTTGTAATGTGTTGTAGTGTAGCTCAAGACCTCCAATCCTACAATAAGTAAGAGGAGCGACGACAGACTGCGAGTGACAGCAGATCGATCAACGATTGACCTGGTCTGATAGAGATCGGCAAACTACCTGAGGAAACCGTCACTCTTTAATTCATACTACACACATACATTGGAGTGCAAAATGATTAATAACAATGTTCAATAGCGAACATATTCCAACAAAACAGTCAATGCTTTCAAGCACCTTTTATAGACATATTCACGTACAAACAAATTTAAAAACTATTTTGTAGAAAAATTGTACCTACATAATTTTGGTAAAATATTTTAGGTTATTAACCCCCAGTGCTCTAAATACAGAACCCCACACGTGACTCATTCATAACGTGCCAGCAGTTGGTTAAGCAATTACTGTAATTGGTCAGATGTGATGGCTGTATTCACATCAAGGTGAGAAGTAATTCATGCGAGACTAGGCTACACTTGATTTCTTGTACCTTGGGGTCTGGCATCACCTTAGCATGAGGTGCGTCAGGGACGAAGAATAAATGCTATGCAAACCAGGGGATTGTCATCCAATGAAGCGATCAAACTGATATTTCCTCGTCTTCTCCATGTATTTATGTATTTGTATACGTTTATTCTGTATTGTATCCCCAATCAATAATGAAACAGTTAAAAGTATATTTTCAATCCTTCACCTCGAGTTAACGTTTCTTACAACTCATTCATGCGTGTCAAGTAATAATTATCAGCATTCACAATTACCCAATTGCTAAAATTGCAAATTACAGAAGAAATGTTCCAAAATGCTTCTCCCTAGCCGTTACAAGGCGCCTAATCCTATCAAAGTAGTTGGATAAGACAAGACACGGCCTTCAAGTGAGTAGTCAGGCAAATTGCCTCCAGGCATGCGAGACTCCCATTGCATCTGCCTTATCACGGACTTGCCTGGCACACTATGCACGTGCTATTCAGTACTGCATATACTGCATGTTCACGTGCTGTCTGCTTGTGTTAGTACAATGTAATGTAACAAACAACTGCTCAATGAGAAAAATTGTCTAGTGATCGCACGTAGCAACCCAATATAAAGATTGCACATATCAATCTCAGAACTGACATAGTTTTTAGAGCACATCTCGAGCTAGACAAGAGCGATGAGTCAGAGGTAACCTCAGTTTGACAGATAACAGCGGCGCAGTTGATAATAGAGATAACCGGCCCTCGTGTGAACTGTTCTGTTCTGAGACGATTCCCCACACTGGAGACGTCCAATTAACTGAGCTACTTGACTAATTGACATTTGGTTGACCGTACGACACATTCATAGACTTTGAAATTACGCAGCCATCTCATGAGGTGTAAGCGTTTGAAATAATGAATGTATTGTATCGTTCATGCAGTTGGAAACTACGTGGGTAACTGATAGATGGATTATAATTTTAATGACAAAGAGTTCCCACTTATACTCTGCAATAGAAATAACGCAATAATAACACTGGACAAACCATGAATAGAAATTTTTAGACCACATGTAGCCTACAAATTTAATGAATTATTCAAATTCAAAAAGTTGATATAGACAAACCTTGTATGGTTTTGCACCTATTGTATGACATGCATGTATCCATTTTTTGTTCAATAAACAAATTGATTGATTGATTTCGTGATTTTCTGAATCAAATTGGCGTGAAAACACGTCACATTTCACCGCTGACGCAGTTTATAGTGTTGTCATAAATGTCATGCTTCTCCTATTCGCCTAACTGATTTAATTGTAATACAAACGAATGTTCGATAAGAACATTGCTTGTTACTTCAGGATAACATAGCTATGAAAAACTATGATAAATTCGATATTGTTTAAACACTGAATTTTTACGCCAACAATACATAAATGTGTTTAACTTCAAAACCAATTTAATTCATGGACATGTATGACACACTGAACCTTCTCACCTACATAGTAGGCAAGGTTACACTTGTGTCAACGCAAAACGAGTAAAACCAGTTTGCGTT